CCTTTGTTGGGCAAGAAGATATTGCCTTTCAAAGGCCTTGCGCCTCCTCTCCTCAGCTCTGTCAGTAGCGGAGGAGCGCTTAGAAGGATGAGGACTAGCAGACCTAGCCCTGACCTCACGATTTTTAGGGCCCTTGGAGGAGGTTTTGGCTCTCTTCCTGACCTCAGGAGGACTGTATGCCTGCTCAATCTCGGAAGACATGTCCGAATCCGCCATAACGAAGACGCAGACAAGGTAAGTAGCTGAAAACAAGTCAAAAACGCGAAAAATTAATTAATTCGGTTTTTTTTTTACCATTATCATTAACAAAATATTTAATTTCTCTCTCTCTCTCTCTCTCTCTCTCTCTCTCTCTCTCTCTCTCTCTCTCTCTCTCTCTCTCTCTCTCTCTCTCTCTCTTTTTTTTTTTTACAGCCAGGAATGATAGTCAAATGACAAGGAAAAAAAAAACCAAACTCCAAAAAGCCATTAATCAAGGCAATAAGGTGTAACAACACCAAAAGCTTATTGGCTACAAAGGGACCAAGGGTTGCCTAGGTGAAACAAAGCTGTCACTCATAGAGGGGAAGCATGGAGTTCAGACCCAAATGAACGCAGGATGGCCAGGATTGGCTACTGGGTGCTATGACCTCAGCTGTCAAGACCAAACATTGTTAACACCCCTTCAGGCAAAACCATCCTGCCTAGCAACAATAATGGCGGGAAACTGCAGGAAGGCAAAAAAACGGGCGCTAGGCTGAACACAGCCCTCGAACGCCACAGCTCCAAAAACGCGCCGAGGAAACCTCTGAGGGAAGCTGCTAGGTCACTGACAAAGGGGCGCGCGGCTTGCAAAAAAACACCAACAGCCGAAATAGCCAGGAGCCTAAGAAGCTCACTGAGGCAGTTTAAAATGGTGGGCGGCTTGAATTTTCGCCGCCAACGCCATAACGGTTGAGAGCAAAAGCCGTAGAGGGAGGCTGTCAATCAAACAGCAAAGGCGCGCTCGGCTCCGCTTTAGCCGCCGAGTGTTCCCAACAGACAATAAAGGATCGGCTTGCTCATTTTAAACTCCCAGCGGTTTGTTAATTGTGGATTTAATTAGGGGGGTTTGCGGAAGCGATGTAGGGACCCCCGGCCGCCTCTGCAAGCGTTGGAGCGGTGTGGGAGGCAAAGGGGGAGAATCCAGCTATCCAGACCCCCACGCAGCGCCCGGCGGCAGGCCAATCACTCAGAGTTGCCCTAAGGTAGAGCTCCGAGGAATCTGTTACACAGAAAAAAGGAGCGGAGAGGAGTCCCCTGGATAGAGCCCCAGGCTAACTCACCCTCCGCAGTAACAACAGGGCCGTCAGTTGTCACAATAACTCCACACCGCTCAGGAGAATCTCTCAGATTAATAATAGATGGAAAATCCAAATATTGATAAAGTTCATCAGCCAAATTGCTAGAGCCAAGGAAAAAACCCAGTCTCTCACTTGACTGAGTGAATGAATTGGGGCTTAGCTAGGCAAAGGAGGAGTGGCCAAGGTTGTTTCTTAAAGAAACAGTCACCCAGTCCAGCAATGAAGCTGAGGAACCTACCCGTCATTTGGATTCTCCAGGCAGCGCACTGGAGAATGAGGATATCATTTAGATAACACAGGACCCTCACCGGAGCAGATCTGAGAGAGGCTGCCACCACCGCCACCAACTTGGTGAAAGTTCGGGGGCCCGAAGAGAGCCCGAATGGCATCGCACAGTACTGGTAATGCCTCCCCGCATAATCGAATCTCAGAAATTGGCAATGGGAGGGATGTACCGGAACATGTAGATATGCCTCGTGCAGATCCATTGACTGCATGAAATCCCCGTGCCGAACGGAGGAGAGGATGGACCTCAGGGAATGCATTTTGAATCGGCAGTAGCGAACTGCCAGATTCAGATGTTTCAGGTTGAGGATTCCCCTGTATCCTCCCAAACTCTTGGGAACCAAAAAAAGGATCAAGTAAAATCCAGTTCCCAGTTAGTCCCCGGGCACAGACTCTATTGCATTGATGTTCAGGAGGTGTTGGATCTCTGCTGACATGAGATCCTGCAGCTGCGAGGAGCAGGGAACTGGGTACCGGATGAAGCGACTTGGGGGTGTGCCGGAGAACTCTATAGAAAGGCCTTGGGAGACCGTACGACGGACCCAGGCGTCCGTTGTTGACAGGTCCCACTGATGGTGAAATGCCTGGAGACGACCGCCGATGGGGCCCCACGAATGCGAGTCATTTGCCCCGCCAGAAGGACTTGGACCCGGATCCATGGAAGGGATGCTTTGAAGCGAGATGAGGTCTTTCCCTATCGCAGAAGTGCTGCCTGTCTGAAAACCGGTCAGTTGACTGGAATGACTGGCGGTAAGTAGAGGGCCCCCCGGGCCCGGAGAAGGTCCGAAAGGGCTGCCGCTGGCTGTAAGGTGCGTAACATCTATCAGTCTTGCGGAATGTAGAAGGTAGGACTTTCCGCTTATCCTTGTCCTCGACGAGAACTGCATCAAGCGCAGCACCAAATAAATTAGGAGCCTTATAGGGGGATGAAGCGAGCTTCCATTTGGTTTTTACATTGGCCTTCCAGAAGGCCAGAAGAGGAGCCGAGAGGTGACCGATGAAGCGAGAGCCCGGGAAGAAATTTTACTGAATTTAAGGAAGCATCGGCGGAATATTCAGTGGCCGCGATGATCTTATTAACATCTTGATGCAACCTGGTTTCCTCCGGAGGAAGCCTTTCTTGCAATTGACGCAGCCAGATAAGGGACGCACGGTTAAAAAATGACATGGCCGTCACTGACCGCCCAGGCCACCGCTTGGTGGGATTTGCGGAATGAGAGCTCCGCGCGTCTGTCTTCAGACTTCAGGCCATCCAGGGGATCCAAGGAGATGACTGAAGGCGAGGCGAGAGAGGCCACTGGAGCATCGACAGGTGGTAAGTCCAGGAGAGCCTCCAATTCGGGCGCGGGACAGTAAAGTTTCTTGTCCAGATTACTGGGGGTTGTTAAGGACCCCGGTTGACTCCATGGTGTCTGAAGGACGTCTGCGAATAGCTGGGGGCATGGAATGTAGTCCTTCTCCTCCTTGGTCTGCTTGAAGAAAGCATCATGAGTTCTTCAGAGAACTCAAGGTCCTCAGGGAATTCTTCTGCTTGGTCCGAGCCTCCGGAGGAGTCAGACTCCCTCTGGTGTAGTGAACGAGGCCTGTGTGTGGGCTGACTGAGCTCCACAGTCTGGGCCGACCCCGAATGGGGTACCTGAGAGGCATGTTGTAGGCCAGCAACCAAGATGTTGCACAAGGCTGTGGATAGCATGGCCTGAAAATCAAGCTGGGGGCCTACAGGAGCACGGAGCCCTGCTGCTGTGGGTGTAAAGGTGGCCTCAGGGAGCTGGTCACAAGGAGGGTGAGAGGAGTCTAACCTGACAGAAGAAACATCAGGCATGGACCGCGAAACCCCCTTTGTCAGAGAAAGTGGAGCCATAGAAGTGTCCTGTGATGTGGATGGCGCGGCCTCAGGAGACTGCGGCTGACAGGGTCTTGAATCCAAGGCAAGGGAAGAGGCTGCCGCTTGCCTGGCCTTGTCATATTGTTTCTCAAGGGCCGTGTGGCGCCTCAAAGCGTCCTTATCAATGGCCTTGGAAGCCTTAGGTGGATGGGTCTTGCGACTGACATGAGCAGACCACTTACCTGCCCCCTTCTTGCGTGCTTTAGCCCTGGGTGGGCTCTCTTCTTGTTCGAGATCAGAAGATAGGGACGAATTCGCCATCTCTGGTTTTTTTTTTTTTTAAACCGGAATAAACATCAGGCAACGACAAGTGGGACTGAGGACTCCCAAAGTTCGACCACCAGCGTGCAAGTCAGATCAAAGGCACCCAAAGGGTACAGGCAGTTCCTTGTCAGGGCCAAGTACAACTCCAAACGGCGGTAGAATGACCAGCGAGGTCAGATGGCGATTGTGCCAAATCGCCTCCGCAACTTAGGGCTGCTGGGGCACCTTGAAGGTGTGGGGCTCCCAGAGTGAGGCAGGGACTACCGCCGCCGAAACTGTGATGATAAACCGGCCGGAAGGCAGACAAAATGGCGGCTGATGCAGTCGAGTGACCAAGATGGCAGCCACAAAACGACACCCAGTCGTTTTGTGTTTTGTGTTTTGTTCTTAAATCAAAAACTTAATTAAAAAAAAAAGATGGCAGCCGCAAACGTTGCAACAAAATGGCAGACTCACACCGACTTGTCCTCGCTGTGTAGCACGGGAGCCGACCAGGACCTCACCGCTGGCCGCTGCTGTCTATTACAGGTAATCGGCGCCGCCCGCAGTGGCAACTGATGGGACAGCCACCGAATTGGAGCCCACAAGAAAAACTGCAGAGCGAACACGGAGACCGTGTAACCGCTCTGACGCCGCCTTAGCCAGGGAGAGCTGTTCGAAATGAGCAGCAATGGAGGGAACCGTGACGGCGAGCCACCTAGTCCCTGCACTCGCTGGTGTCTACAAATCAAGCCGGATCCGCCCCGAGAGGTCAGAGTCCGGCTGCTGGCTTCGTGCTAAGCGCCGAGGCACAGGACGGCCTGGAGCATCCAGACCCGTCACCGCGCTCACACAGCTGACTGTCGGCTCCGGCAAAAAAACAAACAGAAATCTTCCCCGAACAAGGGTAAAATCAAAAATAAGCAAAAACACCTAAATGAACTAAGAATTAAGCAGAATTGAGCACAGAGAAATTTTCCACCTCAGTCTGTCAGCAACTGAGTGAAAGACTGGAGGATCATGGGACAAAGGGGCGTGGCCAGAACATGGAGAGAGGGAGAATTTGATTTGAAAGTCCACTCAGTTGATGTCAAAACATGAGGAAGCAACCTAGCTATGGAGTGTAGCCGCAGCGCTCTGGAAAATTAACTATGCAATTTTTAAATAGAAAGAAAAAAAACATATAGCTCAATCTAGTGTATATCCTGATTCTAACTAATTGTGCTTTTTTCCTCTCCATGTCATAATCCTGATTTGGCTCAAAGCTAACATTCAATTCAAATTGGATCATAACTGGATGGCATATGAAGGACACCTTTATTTATTACATGACCAGTTAGGTATCCAGCTTCAGATAAAAGACTATTGTCAAGGACAAAAAGCTGCACTTATTTCAAGTATAAGTGAGGAAGAGGAGGTAAGTAAAATATGGTCCCAGGTTTGATAGTTGCTCCATGAAATTTACATGATTGCAACTGTGCTTACAATCTTACTCCAGCTTTCCTTTGCTCTACAGTGTCAACAGGTTACCAGATTTGAAATAATATTTCACTACTTGCTTTTTAGTTTGGATGAAAGACTGGGTCTTGCTGAGAAATAGAAGACTATTGGAGTTAGAAGGTCATGATCTGAGGTTTGGGTGGCATGGAACTTATGTTACAATAAAGCTAAGCTGAATGTCAGTTTTAAAAACCATTATGTTAGGCAAGATATTCTTACAGTATAGAATAAATTCAAATTTAGATTCCTCTATCTTTATGGCTTTCAGCACAAAAAAGTATTTTATAGACCAGAAAAGACGTAAGTGGCTAGTATATGATAAGTAAACATAAATCTAACATGATGTATTAGAATTTTTTTGTCAGAAAAGTTTAAAAAATAATCTAGGGAAAATAGAATGATATGCATGTCAATGATTTTCTTATGTACAATTTTTACATTTAAAGTGGACAAAATATTTCATTAATTTTATCTATTTATACTCAATCGTTAAATTAGGTAAGGAATTTAAAACACAAATACATACATTAATTCAGAAGATTTTAAATATTAAATTGCAACTCAATTCATAGACTTTTCTTTTGGGACTAATGGGCAGGCAACTAAAAATAGAACTCTTGTATATGACAAGTGCAGCAAGATTCTTATATGCTTCAAAATTGAAAGGTTTGATCATTCTCATAATGAAGAATTGGTGAAAATGATGTAACTTGCAATGATGGCTAAATTAACTTCTTTGATCGTAGAAGAAACAATATCGACATCTATGGCTGACTGAAAATGACTTACAAATTTTTTGCATAAAATGGGAAAAAAGGGATTTACACCTTTGGTTTTGATTTTTAGAAAGAAATGGATAGAAGGAAAAAAATGTGCAGTTTTATAATATAGAGTAAGAAATAATATGTAATTATATTATTATTCCTTCCTTCCATCCATCCATCCATCCATCCATCCATCCATCCATCTCTCTCTCTCTCTCTGTGTATGTATGTATGTATACACACACACGCATACACACAAACGTAGGCTGTATACACAGGTAAATTTTTAACTCTCTTTCCATACTCCTGCACACTTCAAATGCTCACCTTAGCCTTTGGATAATGATCAAGCAGCAAACTAATATTTGTACTTACATTCTTGTAGAGAAAGGGATTAGGAGAGTAAGCAGGCAAAACAATGAACATGAACCAAATATGGAAAAGCAAGGATGTCAGCCTGGTAACCAAATGTAGGTTAGTCCACTGTACTGTGTTCCCTGTAGCTACCTACAGCTGAGAAAGTTTGACCTTAAATAAGCAAGACAGGAAGAAACCAATTCATCTGAGCTGTGGTGCTAGAGAAGGCTTGGAGAGCAAAGGTGACTAACAAGCTAGTGGGAATTCACTAGAGAAAGCAATTCAGTTGGGAAGAGTTAATGCGAAAAGGAACCCAGGCTGATAAAGAACTCCATTGAAGCTGGCACCAGTCAGAGCATAAAACAAACTAGGGGGGCAAGATCGGAAGATGTGGAGAGACCTGGCCCACAAAATCATCAAGAGTCGGACACGGCTGAATGGATAACTTCATCATTACATCATCAGGAGGCATTGCTGAAGAACTGGGTCAATCCTAATTTTTATGGAGGTGAAACCATTGTAGAACTTCATCCAGACCCTCAAAGAGGTTCCACCTGACCAAAGCCTGCACTTTCAGCCTCATGCAGTCAACCAATCGGTCTCGTGCCACCTAGGTCCACAGCTTCCAAGACGGCCAGGCTTAAAGAGGTCCAAAAGTTTCTTCTCACTTCTTCCCATGCTCCTCTCCATGACTTCTTCACCAGCAATCTGTATCAACAGTCATGGAGAACACATGCAAGCAAGAATTTGTTTCTGTAGATGGACAGAGGCAAATACTTTGAGTTTGCTGGTGAATCCCAAGAGTTGTGTAGCTTTTAATTGCCCTGCCTTTAATCAAAGTATATAATATGAATATACTGCAAAATATAATAAGGCCGCTTAGAGCTGCAGTGAGCATCTGCTCAGAAGAAAGGAAGAAGGTGAGCCAATATGTCCTCCCCACCAACCTGAGGTGGCTGAGAGACTTTGTCCTCCACTGTGGGGGTGACCTGAGTTTGCATCAGATTGTGTTCATTGTGGAAGCACTGAAGATGGTTGCTGATTTTATGGGGACAAAGGCCAGAGCGAGGGATGAGGGAAGATTTACGGGCTTAGGAGGAGATGAGACAAGGACTCAGCAAACAGTGAAACAAAGTGGCTCCCTGTTCATCTCTCACCATGGTTAGGTGCAAATGTGGAATGGCCCATAGACTAGGTTTGATCATGGCTTCCAGGGCCCTGCTAGTTCACCCAAACACCTCCTTGGTTCCTCCTGGATGTCCCATTGTTTCAGGAACTTGATCTGCCCCACTCTTTGCGGTTGCACTGTATGGGTTGCATTGCTGCTACTTCTCCATATTCCTCCACTGATTCATCTGGGGAGGCTCTGATTCTGAATGTCCTTCAGGTGAGAATCTCTCCGTTATTCACTGTAAATGATGTTTGGATTTTTTCTTTCAGAAGTTCTTAGAAGAAGAACTTAAAAAAAAAAAGCAAGGCCCTTACTTCATCGGATTGGTCTATAGGTACAACACTGGAAACTGGCAGTGGTATGATATTGGAAATGTACCTGAAAAACAGTAAGTATCTAATTCACATTTGTTTTTTTATAACCTGAAATGTCTTTTCATCTGAAAGAGATAGCAGAAGATGCAGTGTGTATGATCATAATTAAGATACTGTAACATGCTGTTACATGCTGTAACACAAGCATATAATAATGGTACTTTTATGATGTTGTCACCAGACTTCTGTCATTATTTGGTGGTCGTTACAGATTGCTACAGATGGATTGGCATATAGAATCTCTCTCTCTCTCTCTCTCTCTCTCTCTCACTGTATATGTAGGTTTGTGTGTGCACATGTGTGAGTATGTGTATGGGCAGGTGTATGGGTGTGCGTCTCTATCTACCATTTCTCTCTCTCTCTTCTATCAATCATCTGTCTGTCTGTCTCTCTGTCTATCATTATCTTGGACTGGAGAAGTGTGGTCACATGATAGTCCAGGGAGGGAAAATAGTTAATGTTTATAAGTCGCCCAGAATCACCTCAAGATGACATGAGAGGCAAATAAGTACAACAAACAAACAAACAAACATAAATATTCATGGGATGGAATTACCAGCAGGTCACACAATAAACATATGGAGCAGTTACAAGTTATATCCCTCAGTCACACAGGGACCACAAGGAGGAGAAGATGAAAACAGCAACATCCAAGTACCACAAAGATCCTGAAGAGGCAGCTCAAGGGGATGAACAAGATCCATGCCATCAACACCAATCGTCAGATACCGTGCCAGTATAATGAGCTGGCCAAGGAAGGACATAAAAGTGGTGGTGTGGCCCTAAGTTTCCGTTCCCAAGTGTTTGTCCTCCATAAGTAGTGTGCACCCCATCCAGTAACACCCACAAGTCCAGAAGCAGCCAAGTGATGGAACGGTTCGCTAGGTAGCTTTGTCTCCCACTCAGAAGACAGCCCTGGACCTGGTTGGCCATCTCAAATGAAGGAAGCCATCTTGCTTGGCTTCACCCTCCATATGTTTATCCCGTCAGGATCCTAACAGTCTCCAGGCATGAGGCTTCCACAGGGTGATCCCCTTGGCTTGGGATGGAGATGTTAAGTGTGCTAACCTTTAGCATTGTGTTGGACCTAGAGATGACACAACAAATGGAGTTCAATTCTTTATCTATTTGCACCCAATGGACAGAGTCTTGCCAAGCTAAAGTTATAATCTTCTAACCTACTAGATATCATCTCAGAGATTCTAAGATGTGGCTACCCTGAACCTCGTTCCCTCTTCTTCATCCAGGATTGCACAGCCTCTTATTACAGGCCTCTTCCTGGGAAAACACTGTAGAGCCAAATCTACCCCACCCCCCACCCCCGGGTTCTGCAGGTGCATATTCCATCGGACATTGGGATGACACTGAGCCCTGAACTGATGGAGGACCTTCCCCAATGCTTTCTTGCAGGGAGATAATAATTGGGAAAGGACCAAACTCTACAGTGCCCCACAAATGAGTACCCATCAGCCTGACGTCCCCTCCCCCATCACCTCCGACTGAAACCACCAGCAAAGACAAGAATAGAAACACTCCAAAATTCTCCTCAAGCCTCAATTCCTGAAGCAACCAAGAAGGGTGCCACGGTCCAATAATAATAATAATAATAATAATAATAATAATAATAATAATAATAACAACAACAACAACAACAACAACAACAACAACAACAACAACAACTTTACTGTCATTGTACATGTATACACAGTATACCCATACAACGAAATTCACTTAACACCCAAAGACCAGGTCCAACACACATAACAATCCCCAAAACGCCCCCACCCACCACAATTCCCCACCTCTAAACCACCCAAACATCCACACAACAGACCAAGTAATACCGTCCAACAGCTCACTGATGGTGGTCCTTTAGTTCATTGTTGAGTGCAATTATAGCTTGGGATAAAAACTATTCAGAAAACGTGTGGTCCGAGTTTTAAATTGTTCTGTGTATTCTGCCAGAAGGCAACAGTCCAAAAAGATTGTAAACAGGATGGGAAGAGTCTCTGAGAATGTTATGCAACTTCCTCAAACAGCGAGATTCAAAGATGTCATCCAGGGCTGGTAACGAGCCTGATGATATTCTGGGCAGTTTTAATGATTCTCTGTAAAGCTTTTCTGTCCGCTACAGAGCTGCTTCCATACCATGCAAGAATGCCGTATGTCAGGACACTCTCAATGGTGCTGCAATAGTAGGACAGAATCAGATGCTGAGATAGATTTATCTATCTATTTATCTATCCATTTAGATGCCTAAAGATACGTAATTGCCATTGCCTGTTCAAAAGTATGGAGGGGGAGATATGTCTCCAAACCCACCTCTATTTCTCTGCCAAATCAACCACAGACCAACATTTGGAGTTGTATCAACCCTGAAGCTGACCTAGCCAAAGCCATCTTGGAGCATCAGTGCTGCCACACTAGAGCTGAGGGCAGTGGTGAAATCCAGTTACCTTTGCTACCGGTTCAGGAACAGGAGCATGTGGGAGCGCATGCGCACCTCTTCTGCACATACACAGAACCTTCTGCGCATATGCAGATGGTAAAAAAAGGGATGTAATGACATCCCAGCAGATGGGTGGAGCTTCCCGCTGCCGGCGCTACTGGTTCAGCAAGCCAGATAGAATCGGCAGGATTTCACCCCTGGCTGAGGGATAGAGAAAGAGGATTAGAGATAGAGCTGGCTTGATTGGGCCATGTGACTGATTGTTTGGGGTTGAGGGAAAAACTTTTACTTTTAATTAGATGAAAACCAAGGGGCCCCTCAGAGTCAGTTTTCACCACATACAGTATGTGCCAATATGATATTTCCAATAAAGCTATTCTTTGAGGAATTCACCTGCCTCACAGTTTTTGCTTGCAATGGATCTATTACTTGGAAACCTGACAAGTTGTTAGAAACTCCCATTGAGGTGAGAGAAGAAGGTGAATGGACTGAATGTTTATTTCCTGCTCCAAAATCTGTAAATGATATTCATTTTATCTGGAGGACTGATGATGGTTGTTTCTTCTTTTTAGATACTGGAAGCCCGGAGAAGAACATAACACTAGAAAAGGACTTTGTGCAGGAATTCAGAATGAATGTCTTACCCCACTAAAATGTTGGGTCGTAATGGAATGTTTCAAGCCAGGAAGAGGGATTTGCAAGCAGAAACCTGTGGCCAAATGGATGACCTAATTATTTGCTGAATGTTGCACAAAATTGTATTTGATGAACTCAGTGAGAAAAAAATGCCAATCGGTGAAGCAGCCTCTTAAAAACAGTTGCCCCAGTCAGCCACTGTGGCAGCATGAAAGAATTCCAGACTTTGACTTCCGCTTCCAAACACCTTTTCCATCCAGACTTTTCAGAGATGAAAGACACTGTCTTATTTAGCAAATAAAAAAGAATCAAAAAAGAACCTGTTTTTTTCTGTATTCATTCTATTTAGTTCAGTGCTGGGCGAACTTTATTGTTTGTAAGCTGCCCAGAATCACTGAGAGTGATGGACGGCCATATAACTCTAAAATAAATAAACAAGTACAACTACAGTCTGGAGTATTGAAAGCCCCCCTAAACTGCACCCACTCACCACTCCAGAATTTGCCATTGTAGAGGTTTGGTTTATTTGACTTGTTTGATTAATTTATTTATCACATCTCTACTCAAGCTGCCTTCAAAAATGTCCTTGGTTTACATAGAATACAGTAGAAGGTTTCACAACAACTATGGTTCTTTAATGCATGAAACCACATGAGAGGCTCAACAAGAACAATAAAGACAACACTATGCTCCCTTATTGGATGTTGGTCTTTTGTTGGACATCTAGATGAAAACGTTAAGAAAAGGCCAACATCCAATGAGGGAGCAAAAGATGTTAGAAACAAACTACTGGGATAAAAACTGAAGACTAAAAACAAGAGCTGAGGTGGCGCAGTGGTTAGAGTGCAGTACTGCAGCTACTTCAGCTGACTGCTAGTTCAGCAGAACAGCAGATCAAATCTCATCCGCTCAAGGTTGACTCAGCCTTCCATCCTTCCGAGGTGGGTAAAATGAGGACCCAGATTGTTGGGGGCAATATGCTAATGCTAATGCAATATGCTAATATGCAATATGCTATATGCTAATTTTGTAAACCGCTTAGAGAGGGCTGTATAGCACTTTGAAGTGGTATAGAAGTCTAAATAATAAATAATAAAACCTGCCCTTTATTATTACCACACTTGTAAATGGATCATAAGCTTCCTAACAGACAGGAAGCAGCAGGTGAAGCTAAGCAGAATCGCATCAGATACCTGTACAATTAGCACAGGGGCCCCACACGACTGTGTGCTCTCTTCACTTTTCTTCTCTCTATATTGACTGCATCTCAAAAGATCCCTCTGTTAAAGTACTGAAGTTTGCAGATAATAAAACAGTGATTGGTCTCATTCGAGACAACAATGATTCTGCATAAAGAAGGGGGGGGTTGAACAACTAGCCTTGTGGTGCAACCAGAACAATCTTGAACTAAATACACTCAAAACTGTAGAAATGGTGGTAGATTTTAGGAGAAACCCTCCTATATTACCACCTCTTATAATACTAGACAACACAGTATCAACAGTAGAGCCCTTAAAGTTTCTAGGTCCATGATGGCGAACTTATGGCATATGTGCCCAAAGTGGCATGCAAAGCCATGTTGCCTGGCATGTACGGCCTTGCCTGTTTGTCTTCCAGATTTCTGGCACACATGTGTGTGCGACAATCAGCTGTCCTTCACGTGTGCAGCAGTGCCAAAACTGGTATGCGCATGCTTGCCAGCCAGCTGATTTTTGGGTGCGCATGCTGAACTCGGAAGTTCAGCTTTTCCGGAGCGTGATCCCTTCGCACACATGGGAGTGCTAAAAACTGGCCTGTGCATGCACTCGGTGCTGAAAAGGTTTGCCATCACTGTTCTAGGTTCTATCATATCTCAAGACTTAAAATGGACACCTAACATCAAAAATATCGTCAAAAAAGCACAACAAAGAATGTTCTTTCTGCGCCAACTCAGAAAGCTCAAACTGCCCAAAGAGCTGCTGATCCAGTTCTACAGAGGAATTATTGAGTCTGTCATCTGCACCTCCATAACTGTCTGGTTTGGCTCTGCAACCAATCAGACAAACACAGACTTCAATGGATAATTAGAACTGCAGAAAAAACAATTGCTACCAACCTGCCTTCCATTGAGGTCTTATATACTGCATGACAGTGGTGAGATTCAAATTTTTTTACTACCAGTCTTGTGGGCGTGACTTGGTGGGTGTGGCATGGTTTTGTGGGCTTGGCTTGGCTTGGTGGGTGTAGCAGGGAAATATACTGTAAAATCTCCATTCCCACCCCACTCCAGGGGAAGGATACTGTAAAATCTCCATTTCCTCCTGATCAGTTGGGACTCGGGCGGCAGTGAATAGATGGGGGCGAGGCCAGTCAGAGGTGGTATTTACCGGTTCTCTGAACTGTTCAAAATTTCCACTACTGGTTCTCCAGTACTGGTCAGAACCTACTGAAACCCACCTCTGCTGCATGAGCTAGAAAGAGGGCTGTGGAAATATCGACAGATATTTATTATCGACAGTTATGCATTTCCCACATTATTTTGTTATCGTAGGCAGTGGTGAAAACTGAACCAGTTTACTACCTGTTTGTTCTGCCCCAGCTACGGACCCCAAAGAACGCAGCACACACAAAGTCTGTACAAACCTTAGTTTTACTAAATTAAACAAGTTTTTTTTTTCCAAACAAAGGCTGTTAATTAACTTTCTTAACAGCCTACAATAATCCAAAGAATAAATAATCTTAATCTTACTATGGTTGGCAGAAACCCCAGAAGCAATTTGCAAAGATCTAAGATCGAGGCACGAAGGAGAATGAACGAAGTTGTTCCCTGAAAATTGCTTCAGTCGGCGTTAATCCTTAAATAGGCTAAGGGAGTGGCCAATTAGCCCCAAGCCTTACTCTCGAGGAGACCTCCTCCTGAGGAGCCACTCCTGCCTTTTGGCAGCTCTGCGCGCCCGTGCACTGAGAAGAGGCTCCTCCTCTTCGTCCTCTTCACTTAAAGGAGCTTCTGGAGATTCTGAAGGCCCTGGCTGAATCCCTGCCTCTGGCACCACATCTTCTCCAGCCTCCTCATTGTCCGACTCGAGTGCCAGCTGCACAGGCTGCTGGCGCAGTACCACACCAGCCTCCTCACTGTCCGAATCAGCCACCAGCCACACAGGCCGCATATGGGCCACAACACTGTTCAGTGCACACCATGCACCAAATGCGAGGTGCGTGCGCACATGCGCAGTGCACACCAAAAGGAGGCATGGGGTAAGTAGAACAGCACATGGGGAGGGGGGTGATCAGCTGTGGCATGTGATTTTTTTTTTACTTTTTAATTTAAAATTTTTTTTTTAAGACAAACAAACATTTAATACATCAATCATCCCTCCCCTGTGACATCTCGGTGTTGACTTCAGTTCTTTTTATTCTTCTTGTTCCAACAAGAAGTTTCTTCTATCTTAATCGTCATCCAAACCACTATAAAAGTTCATTCCTATAACCATGTTCTTGCCATGGAATTTTTACACATAGTTATAAAATTAATCATTTATATCTCTTTTCCAACCAACAATAGAAATAATTCCATATTCTAAAGGATTCTGATTCTTCCCTATCTTTAATCAACAAAGTTAATCTGTTCATTTCTGCACAATCTAAAATCTTTTTTATTACTTCATCTTCCAAAGGTATTTTCTCTAATTTCCAATTTTGAGCATAAACAATTCTTGTAGCTGTTATTACATGTATAATCAAATAAATATATTCCTTTTTAATTTTGTCAGATAGGATACCCAATAAAAACAACTCTGGTTTGAATTCAATACGTAATTGTGTCATTTCTTCCAGCCATAGTTTAATTTTATTCGAATAGTTTTTTGCTTCAGGGCATGTCCACCACATATGTTAATAGGATCCTGGTAGTTGGTTACATTTCCAACATTTCGCTGATTTATCTTTAAACATTTTTGCTAACTTCTCCGGTGGCATATGCCATCTATGAAACATTTTATATTGGTTTTCCTTATATGTGGTGGACATAGTTAATTTATAGTTCCTTTCCCATAGTTGTTGTCATTTTTCAAGTTCAATTGAATGTCCAAAATTTCTTCCCCAAGCTATCATTGTTTCTTTTGTCTGTTCCTCCTCCAATTCAATATATAGCAAAAAATTATACAATTTTTTTATTAAATTTTCTTCTGGGCGGAGCTACGGGCATTCCTGGGGCTTTTAAACTTTTATGCCATTTTCCTGAGGGACAAAGCCACAGTGGCTGAACCACTCCATAAACTTCTTTCTAAAAAGTCTTCTTGGGTTTGGGGAAGGGTGGAAGCCGCGGCGTTTGCAGCTGTCAAAAGACTCCTGACAGCTGACAGCCTCCTCATCCAGTAAAATGAGCTGTTTCCCCTTGTCCTCGTTTGCGATGCCTCCCCTTTTGGTGTGGGGGCAGTCCTGAGCCATAGACTACCAAATGGACTGGAAGCCCCCATCGCCTATTTCTCCCACACCCTGTCCAGTGCTGAATAGAACTACATTCAGGGCCCTAGCGGCTGTTGCCGGGGTCAAGAAATTTCATGAATATCTGTTTGGGAGATCTTTTGAACTGGTCACCGACCACCAACCCCTGCTTGGACTTTTGGCTGGGGACAGACCCACCCCTGCAGCCATGTCCCTGCGTTTCACTAGGTGGGCCATTTTTCTGGCTGCCTATTCATACAGACTCGTCCACCGGCTGGCCGGCGCCTCGGGCATGCCAATGCCCTCAGCAGGTGCCCGCTGCCAGAACTGCTTGATGACCTGACCCTGGGCGTCCTTATCCTGCTGATTGATGCGCTGGACTCTAGCCCCATTTCTTCTGCTGAAGTTGCGAGGGCCTCTGCTAAGGACTCTGTATTGCGGACTGTTATGAGCTGGGTGTGTAGGGAATGGCCTAGCAGCCCTGTTGGTGGGGAATTCAAACCATTTGTCTGTAAACAGCATGAGCTGGCTACGCAAGGGGGTTGCTTGCTATGGAGGGACTCGGTGGTGATTCCCCCGTGTCTAAGGAAACAAGTATTGGCCACATTGCATATTGGTCACCCGGAAATTGTGAGGATGAAGGGATTGGCAAGGAACTATGAGTGGTGGCCTAATATGGATGATTGCATTGCTGAATGGGTGGCCGAGTGTACTCCCTGCCAAGAGTCTCGCCCCGCTCCCCCAGTTGCCCATTCAAAGAGTGGGAAAGGCCTTGGGGACCATGGTCCCGCATTCATATAGATTTTGCTGGCCCATTCCATGGTCAAACCTTTCTGATCGTGGTGGACGTGTATTCCAAGTGGCTGGAGATAATTTTAATGCACTCCACCACTGTGGAGGCTGTAATTAAAGCTCTCCAGAAACTATTCGCCATGCATGGGCTACTGGACACCCTGGTGTCAGATAATGGGCCTCAACTTACAGCTGCTCAATTTGAGGGGTACCTAGCTGAGTTAGGGGTCCGTCACACACTCACGGCACCTTTTCATCTGGCCAGTAATGGTCATGCTGAAAGATTTGTGAGATCGGCCAAAGAGGCATTGGCCAGACTTGGACTGGGGGACTGGCAATCCAGGGTTGATACTTTTCTGGCAGCCCAACATGTTACCCCGTGCATGGCAACGGAAAGAAGTCCCACAGAGCTCTTAATGGGCCGGAGACTCTGCTGAACCCTAGATATGCTGCACCCCAATTACTCCCCTGAGGGATACATGGAAGCCAAAAGTAATACTAGAAGTTTTTCTATTGGGACCCTGGTCTTCGCAAGAAATTATGCAGATGGTCCCCTCTGGGTGGCTGGGCAGATCTCTGACATTACCGGGCCCAGGTCATATATTGTCAAAGTCAGCAACGGTAGGCTATGGCAAAGACATATTGACCAGTTAAGAAAACGTCTAGGTCAAACAATGGCCGATGAGCCAGATTGCAAAATAGACAGTCCCTGACTCACCAATCATTCATCCAACAGCTAACTCGAATCTTAAGCGGCCGGAAGACTTACCTGATGACTTCGGTGTCCAGCGCCGCCTCCTCGAGAAGCCAGGCCCATCTGGAGAGTGCAATGCCCATAAAAAAATCCAGGAGGTTCCATTGGCTGGGCTGGGAGAGACAAAGGGTCCCTCCGACCAGCCCAAATCCCCGCCTCAGACTGAATTGCCCAGGTTAACTAGAATCGGGAAACGCCCTAGTCACCTGCGTGATTATGTATGTAAATAGTTTGGTAAAATGCCTTCTGGGAGGGGAGGAGTGTTATGAGGGGAGGAGCCTTGGTGGCGCAGCAGACTAAAGTGCTGTTAAGTAGCACTTAGCTGCCAGCTGCCTGCAATTACTGCGAGTTCAAATCTCACCAGGTTCAAGGTTGACTCAGCCTTCCATCCTTCCAAGGTAGGTAAAATGAGGACTCGACTTTGTATAAAAAAGAACAATGCTTGTGGGAGGGGCGAAAGCCCTACTAAGCAGGTATATACAAAAGTATGAAGGCTATTGCTTATTTATTATTTATTTATTTATTAGTTCAATGTACATGCCACCCTTCTCCGGAGACTCAGGGCGGCTTACAATGCATTAAGCAATAGCAATAGCCTTCATACTTTTGTATATACCTGCTTAGTAGGGCTTTGCCCCCCCCCCAAGCGGTGTTCTTTTTTATACAAAGTCAGCTTATTGCCCCCACAATCCGGGTCCTCATTTTACCTACCTCGAAAGGATGGAAGGCTGAGTAAACCTTGAGCCTGGTGAGATTCGAACTTGCAGTAATTGCAGGCAGCTGATGCTAGTTAACAGCACTTTAGTCTGCTGTGCCACCAAGGCTTAATGCATTGTAAACTGCCCTGAGTCTCCGGAGAAGGGCAGCATATAAATCGAACCAACCAACCAACCAATCAATCAATCAATCAATCTAATTTTGGAGGAAAAATTAGAGTGGGAAAAAGCTCGATGATCATTGGCTAACACACTTGACAAGTAGCTAAATAAGGAGAGCTGTTCTACTGTAAAGTTGCTGGATTCTCACTGTGTATTAAAGAGTTGTTGTTCACTTTGACCTGTCTCCTGTCTCCTCATTCGCCCGATCAAGAATACTGATGAAATTATCTAGCCCTCTTCTCAAACATCTGCAAGCAGGAAACCAACCTCAGAGAATGCCAAAAACCCAACAAGTACCAGTTATTTATTTTCTTTAGTCGAGACCCATACACAGGGTTGCCTGTAGTAGCCAAGTTTTAGTCGTAAATATCTTGATGCGAGTCATGCTTCATGACACAAGTTCTGTCCCTGATGCACTGATAAGAGAAGTGGCCATGAAAGCAGAAAAGGGTTGTAAAATGTAGAGAGAAAGACCTTGGCAGAAATGGGCAAGCAGCGTGACCTAGGGAAAGGAAAGGAAAGGAAAGGAAAGGAAAGAAAAAAAGGAAAGGAAAGGAAAGGAAAGGAAAGGAAAGAAAAGAAAAAAGAAAGGAAAAAGGAAAGAAAAAAAAGAAAAGAAAAGGAAAGAAAAGAAAAGAAAAGAAAAGAAAAAAGAAAGAATAGATCTATGCACAAAGAAGCAATGGAAAAACACACAAATTGAACTATAGCCAAGCCAGTTTCCAGCCTTCCCTGAGGGGACCCATCATGGCTGCCCTCCCTCCCCAAAGACACCTCAACCCTTCCCGCCAAAACTGCTTCTTATCTTTTATTGGCCCTCGAGGGTGACTCTGGATGGGCCTCTTCATGATTAGTTGGCCCTTAGGCTGACATTTGTCATTGAAGGATCACCTCAGCAGATGATAGGCCCTTGTGCTCCATGTTCCCCACCTTTGTGGCTGTTCACAGGTTGATCCAGCTGCCAATCAAATAGCAGCGCCCAATCAAAGGGCTGTTGCTGGGCAGGAAGCGAGAAGGAGGAAAGACAAGATGACTGCCTGAAGCTCTGCCACTATAGGCCTCATGAGGAAGTAGCCAAATAAAAAGAGCCAAAGCTCTTTGGCCCGCTCTCTTAGGCCCGCCAAGGTTCAGGTGAATTCTCGATAGGCCTCTTCATGATTAGTTGGCCTGCCTGAAGCTCTGCTGCCATGGCTGCCTGAAGGCTGAATAAACAGAGCCAAAGACAGGAGTCAAAGTGAAGATTGAAAATAAAAGATAGGCAGCAATATCCAATCAAAGAGCTGTTGCTAGGCAGGAGGTGAGAAGGTGGGAAGACAAGATGGCTGCCTGAAGCTCTGCCGCCACATGCCTCATGAGGAAATGGCCAAATAAACAGAGCCAAAGCTCAGGAATCGAAGTGAAGATTGCAACTAAAAGATAGGCAGCAGTGGCCAATCAAAGGGCTGTTGCTAGGCAGGAAGTGAGGATGAAAGACAAAATGGCTGCCTGAAGCTGTGCCACCACAGACCTTATGAGGAAATGGCTGAATAAACAGAGCAAAGACAGGAGTCAAAGTGAAGATTGAAACTAAAAGATAGGCAGCAATATCCAATCAAAGAGCTGTTGCTAGGCAGGAGGTGAGAAGGTGGGAAGACAAGATGGTTGCCTGAAGCTCTGCCACCACAGGCCTTATGAGGGAATGGCCAAATAAATAGAGCCAAAGCTCAGAAATCGAAGTGAAGATTGCAACTAAAAGATAGGCAGCAGTGGCCAATAAAAGGGCTGTTGCTAGGCAGCAGGCGAGAAGGAGGGAAGACAAGATGGCTTCCTGGAGTTCTATTGCCTCCAAAATGACGCCCTTGCCACTGCCTTTGAAGTGATGCTCTGCCTCCAGTGTCTTCCTATCTCACTGTTGCCCAGTTCAGGGCCTGCCATGCTTTAGCTGGGCAAACCTCCCTGCTCTGGGGGCCCTGCTAGGAGAGTCTCTTCTTGGCATGGGCTCCCAGCATCATTCCTCTCTCACTCTCCAGGAATAGGAGGAGGCAGCGTGCAGGATTGGCATTCCGTGAATTGGGCCGCCATTAAATCCGAGCAGGTGGCACAAGTGGCTTGTCCCGTTGTGAGGAGGAATTGGGCACCGAACTGTCTTGCCTCAGTACAAGTGCAGGCTGTGACCATTTCTGCAGGGCAGGAAGACAAGTCCTCCTCCCCTGGAGAGGCAACCACCTCTCCTCTTTTTCCTGAAATAGGCCTAAAAACACCACTCTCTGACAGCTCGAGGCTCCCTTCGCCCGTTGCAGGAGGGCCCCATCCCCAACATCTCTGGTCACTCCCCGTGGAAGCTTTGGGAATCATGATCCTCGTGTTCACGAGGCTGTTGGTAATAAGGTTCATTAGGAAATACAGATTTTTTTCCCCCTTTTATCAATTTTTGTCTTTGCTGATTAAATATGGCTTCCTCATCATGATGCTACAATTTGCAGTAACTACAACAATGTGGATTGTGTCTCTCCTTAAAGAATAGAATAGAATAGAATAGAATAGAAGAATAGAATAGAATAGAATAGAATAGAATAGAATAGAATAGAATAGAATAGAATAGATAGAATGAAGAATGAATACTCCTATTGGTGTTTTAGGACTATCACTTTGTAACAGATAATAGGAAAGATAAAAAGGATAATAGCAATATAGCCCTACTACCTGGGTAAATATCCTTAGACATAAGACAGTGCCATAGAATTATGTGTTTAACAGAGGATGGCATGGGGGACAAATAGGACAAAAATAATAATTGTCGTGGGTTTGCAATGTATAAATTGCCAGTGTGTGAAAAACAAACAGAGCGTCAAGAAGGATCGAGTAAGGAAGCAGAAGGCAACGTACAAAATTAATTTATTTCTAGTGGAAAGGAGGATACGACCAAGCCATTCCATCTTTCATTTTGGTAGACACGTAATGTCTATGCGTTGGACAAGAAAGTCATTTTCTTTAGCTCAGAGAGGCCCATTGGAGACCGGTCTTGGACATGGAAGCACAAAGCTGAACTTTTCCAATCATGCATTTCCGTAATTCTGTTGGATATCAAAGGGCTTAAGCCTGTTGTACCAATTCAGTTACAGCTTGCTGAAAGGGGCTGCATTTTATATATGCCACTTTTTATCTGGCTTCCTCTCACAAATGAAGGGTTTATGTACCGAGCATTCAATATTTGTCCAACATTTTGGTGGTACCAAACAACTGGATAACATGATGGTACATTCGTGTGTACTGTGATTAGTTATGGTGGTCGGAGACCAAAAGCTGAAAATCAAACAGAATACAATTAATTAATCATTCAATCAATGAAAACAATTGGTCAGCACTGGGTGAGTTATGTAATGAGTAGGGATGTCCATGGGAGGGTCAAAAAAGTAATATGGTGACCACACGGACCTAATCAAAGGCCTATTTTTTTTACAATATCCCTGTGTCATATCGCTAAAGGGAGTAAAATTTTAATTGTGCAGTCATGGCTACCATTCTGACCTCTTGACCCTCTCAGGATGCCCCTGGCAAAGGGACACAAAATGATAAGAAACCAGGAAATTGAATCTGAGCTCTCAGGATCACAACACTCAAGCAATTTACTCCAGAATTCTTGTCTCAAAGGTTCTTGTTACAGAGGCAACTGGACTTTCTTGAGGTATTTTTTTCTTGAAAACATTTTGCTTCTCATCATGGGTGGGTTCTAAAATTTTTTACTACCGGTTTTGTGGGCGTGGCTTATTTTGTGGGCGTGGCTTGATGGTCATGTGACAATTCTTTAGGATTTAGCAGAGGTACTGGTCTGCCAGGCTTTTAACTGCTTGCAGAGCTGTACCAGTCTACCCATTTGTTTTTGGAGGCACCGGTCTACCACCACACTGCCTTTTAACACTGATCAGCTGTTGGGCGGCCCTTTGAAGCCCCGCGGCAAGAGTTTAAACAGTTTTTTTCCTTCTAGCCGATCAGCTGGGACTCAGGAGGCAGCAATAGATTGGGGGTGGGGCCAAATAAAAGGTAAGAATAAACGGGGGGGGCGGGGGGTGAGGAGGGAACGGGGGGGAAGAACCGGTTCGGTGACATCATATCGTCACCGCTACCGGCTCGGCGGAACCAGGCGGAACCGGGAGGAACCCAACACTGCTTCTCATACAAGAAGTTTCTTCAGTTCTGTTCTGAAGAAGCTTCTTGGACAAGAGGTGAAAAGTTTTCAACGTACAAAATGAAGTCCAATTGCTTTTTGGAAAAGCACCTTTGGGGCAACCATGACCTGGATGATTGAGAATCTCCATAGACACTCCAAAGGTCTTGGTTTGCTGTTCATGATCTACACCATTGAAACAGTGTCTAGTTCTGATCAATGGCACCGAGCATTGAAAAGGGTCCTTGGTGCTCACTCACTGAATTATGTTTCATCTATATTCTCCTTTCTCAATTTTAGATGGTTCTCTTGTGGCAACCCTACCTATCATGTTTTCAGCTTTATTTTCCATCTCTGGATCTCAAGATGAACCCAATACAGGTAGTCCTCGACTTATGACTACAATTGAGTTCAAATTTTATGTTGCTAAGTGAGAAATTTGTTAAGTGAGTTTTGCCCCATTTTACGACTTTTCTTATCACAGTTGTCAAGTGAATCCTTGCAGTTGTTAAGTTAGTAACACGGTGGTTAAGCGAATCTGGCTTCCCCATTGACTCTGCTTGTCAGAAGATCACAAAAGGGGTCACGTGACCTGGGGACACTGCAACCATCAAAAAATGAGTCAGGTGCCAAGTGTCTGGATTTTGATCCTGTGATGCTGCAACAGTCATAAGCATGAAAGATGATCGTAAGTCACTTTTTTCCAGTGCCATTGTAACTTCAAATGGTCATTAAATGAACTGCTGTAAGTCAAAGACTACCTGTATTAGAGTTCCTTTTATCTATTAGAGCAGACTTCTCTATGGTCACCAAACCCAATCTGTTCACCTTTCTTTTAGATTATTAATTAAAAAGAAGCCTGAAAAATATTTCTGATCTCATACAGTGATCTGTATATTTTTATCTGTATGTATGCCTTTTCCTTCCAGGGTGCGTTGCTTGTGTGAATGAATATATCTGTGTAGGTCTAACCAAGGTAGGTGCAACCTAGAGAGAGAGTGCATTGGCTTCTCTTTTCACACCTAATCTGGTGCTGTCCTATTCAGTTTGAAGAGAGAAAACTTGATGTATAGATGGATGGAGGGGCTGAGTCCCAATACCTTTTATGGAATTTATTTCCAATGCTGCTTTAGGTTGGAAAAATAAAAAGTAACTGGGCCATTTGGAGCGAAAAGAGCAGAAAGCAATGTATATAGTGGTGGATAGGCATGGTTATCTTCCTATTCCTTTCCTCTGCTTTGCTTGGTGTTGAATTTATTTAATAACTTCATCCTTTTGTCACATGAAAAGTTTAATCCAATGGGTCCTTTTGGATAGTATCAGATCTTGGAGCTGCAAAGTGTGCATTCCTGATAAGGATGAATGTGCATAAACAGAGTTTTCAACAAAGTGTAAGTAGGAATTTCTGTCAGACTTTCTATATGGGCCAACTTACAAAACTTTTGGTGGATTTTCATTAACCCATACCCAGGTGGTTCCATTTTCGTAATACCCGATCCAATAGTCAGAAGGATGGTTTGAGATTTCTCTTATTAGGAATGCCTAAAAACAACAACCACAAATATATTTAAAATATTTTTTGGAATCCCCTTTTCCGAGTTCATTATTGCTCACTGAATAATAAAGATAATAATAATCTATACATACAGTAGATAAAAATGCCAAATCCAGTCTAAACACTTGGCTGACTATGCGACCAACCATAATAATGACAATGAATCATGCCCTTCATCCATGCAGCAATGTTGACAGACTCTACTTCTCAAGGAAAATAGGTGGGCATGGTGTTTTGCAAGTACATGTAATCCTCCACTTACAACTGTGTGACAGTTTGAAGTTACAACTGAAAAAAAGCGACGTGACCATTTTTCACCATTTTTCATATGGATCGCCCGATCCAGTAGCGATGGAGGCGGGTGGTTCGGAGAACCGGTAGCAAAAATCCCTGCCCTCCCCCTCCCCATGTCCAGCTGAGCTGCACAATCATCAGAGGTTTTTTTTTTTTTTTACTTTTAAAAGCCTTTTTTCTACAACCTCTTCGGCCGAAAAAATGCTTTTAAAAGTAAAAAAAAAAAAAAGCCTCTGATGATCGCGTGGCTCTTAAAAGGCTTTTAAAAGCCTTCAGAAGTTGTAGAAAAAAGGCTTTTAAAAGCCTCTGATGATCCCAGCTGAGTTGCCTGATCGTCAGAGGCATTTAAAAGAAAAAAAGCCTCTGCCGATCAGGCAACTCAGTTGGGATCATCAGAGCCTTTTGAAAGCATTTTTTACAACCTCTTCGCCAAAGAGGTTGTAGAAAAAATGGTTTTAAAAGTTAAAAAAAAAATGGCCACGCCCACCCAGTCACATTACCCCCCACCCCCTACCAAGCCACGCCCACAGAACCGGTAGTAACAAATTTTAGATTTCACCACTGCTTACAACCATTGCAGCATTCCCACGGTCATGTGATCAAAATTCAGACACTTGGCAACTGACTCATATTTATGATGATTGCAGTGTCCCAGGGTCACGTGATTACCTTTTGTAACATTATTTTTACGAATATGTCAAGGCAGCAAACATAAGCTTTACACCTTCCTTCTGCTATTATTCTACAACAACAACAAACCTGTGAGGTGAGTTGGGCTGAGAGAGAGGGACAGACAAAGTCACCTAGCTGGCTTTCATGGCTAGGTCAAAACTAGAAGTCACCGTCTCCTGGTTATTGGCCCAAAGTCACCTAGCTGGTTTTCGTGCCTAATGCAGAACTAGAACTCACTTTCTCCTGGTGATTGGCCTAAAGTCACCTAACTGGCTTCTGTGGCTAAGACAGTACTAGAACTCACCGTCTCTGATTTTGTAGCCTGGTCCCTTAACCACTAGACCCAAAATTCCTCCAAATTTGTCCCAAGACAGAAAATTTGAGGGACAAGCTACATGTGATGAAGAAGCTGGTGCAGAGCTTTGAAGCAGTTCCACTCCTAGACATACAACATTGATCTTTCAGAATAGAATCAATCTGCCTGCTACTATTTATTTATCTATCTGAGATACTTACTTGCTCATTGTAACTTTCAATACAAACCAAGGTGGACTTTTTAGCCTCACAAATTTTTTTGGCTGTGGTCCAGTTGCTGGTAACAGTGCTGAACAAGTAGATGGCCCCTTCAAAGGGCACCCAGTGTTTTTTTAGCAGAATAGTAATGACGTCTTTCGGCCAGAGAGAATTGCAGGAAGAAAGCAAGAGAGAAAGACGCAGCATTTAATAGAAGATAAGCTGAAGGCACTGCATATTGAAACTGTATATAGGTAGTCCTCGACTTACGACCCCAAAATGTCTGTTGCTAAGTGAGACGTTTGTTAAGTGAGTTTTGTCCCATTTTTATGACCTTTCTTGCCACAGTTGTTAAGTGAATCACTGCAATTGATAAGTTAGATACGTGGCTGTTAAGAGAATCTGGCTTTCCCACTGACTGCTTGTCAGAAGGTCGCGAAAGATGATGACAAGATGGCAACGGTCATAAATATGAACCAGGTGCCAAGCGTCTGAATTTGATCACATGATCAGGGGGATGCTGCAAAGGTCATAACTGTGAAAAACGGTCATAAGTCACACTTTTCAGTGCCATTGTAAATGTCAAGGCTCCAAGTAATACCCCCAACAGAAATAAAACTCCAAGGCAGGCATCTTCCTCAATGTTCCATTTTATTAGAGATGTCCTATTGGCACATCTGGGAAAACCCAAATCTGAAAGCCCCCCCCCCGGGTTTTCCCCACCTAAATCAAAATCAAAGTCCCTTCCCCTGCACCCACATGTCCATCACTTGGTCCAATCACATCCCCGTCCCAACTGGGGTTGCTTCCCAGTCACGCCTTTCCAGGTGCAGGCTGAACGTCCTTGACTCCCAGGGAAAAGAATGTTGTTATGGCTATACATCTCACCCTGTCTCCATCCACCCCCCACCTCCCGTTTCCCACAGCATGCCCATCCACCAAGTGTAGCAGCTCTGAAGATCCAAAGTAAAAGACGGCCTCCAGGGTGACAGTGACTTTGAATGGTCAATAAATGAACCGTCGTAAGTCAAGGGCTACCTGTATATTGAAATTTCACACTCCCAGCTTCATTTGTTTCCTTCCCTTCCCTGAAAAGCAACACAAAGAGATCTATGCTACTAAATCCCGACTAAAGATACAACTTTGACCACAGTGAAGTCTTCAGTGAAGCACCTCTAGAAAGCCCACAAGCAATTGTGCCCTCCCCACACGTGGTCCTGAGAATTCAGAAGTGCACTGTTTCCATCAAGAGAATTTGATGGCGCTCACCCGGGCCTCTATTAAATTTGCAGGATTCTAACAGCTTGGAAGGGCCTTGCTGGCTCAACCTCTTGGGCATTTTGTCTCTGAGCCAAAAGCATCAATTCTTTTTTCTCCCATGTCCCCTATAAAGCCCCAGAGGACCTTGAGCAAAGAATCTGAGACTGGGAGATAAGAAATAGTACCCATAAGAGGAGGAAAAGTGATGCGGGGAGACTGAAACTGTACAGAAAAACTGAGATGGAGAACAGTAGACAACTGGACTGGAGGAAAGAAAGAAATTACAGATAGTCCTTGAGTTATGACTACAATTGAGCCCAGTTGATAAGTGAGACTGTTGTTAAGGGACTTTTCGCCCATCTTACAACCTTTCTTGCCACAGCTATTAAGTGAGTCACTGCCGTTGTTAAGTTAGCAACATGGTTGTTAAGCGAACCTGGCTTCCCCGTTGACTTGGCTTGTCAGAAGGTTGTAAAAGGAGCATCCCAAGATCCCTTGACAGTGCAGCCGTCATAAATATGAGGTCAGTGGCCATGCGCCTGAATTTTGATTACATGACCACAGGGATGCTGCCACAGTTGTTAAGTGGGAAAAACGGTCATAAGTCACTTTTTTCAGTGCGGTCATTAAAGGAACAGTTGTAAATTGAAGACTATCTGTAGTTTTGAACCACTTCTGAATTACTTCCAAAATTTTTTTGCATGGACATGTCCCGGAAGGAAAAGCTCAACTCATGGAAATCCTGACTTTCCTTATTTTATTTCGGTTATTGAATGTATTGTTCCATTGTATGGGTTCATTAACCACTTTGCAATTGAGAAAAAGTGGGCTGCAAATTTTAGTGCAAATCAGGAAGTAAACATGCCGCCGCTCCGTTGGCTTGAGCTTCAGCAGGGTGAACAGATGGGCGAGAGAAAGGAAGCTCTCTACTTTCAAGAGCTGAGGCAGATTTTCAACAGATGTAGTCAGGGATGAAATGCTACCGGTTCACTCAGGAAAAGCAAACCGGTAGTTTAAAAAAGCTATGATCTAACGAGCACCTGTGGCGCGCAGTTCACCTTTGCTGGAAAGCAGGATTTTCTAGCAAAGCTAAACTGCGCGCCAAAGCTGATCCCCCCCCCTCACTGTTCTACTTACCTTCCCAAGCCTCCTTTTGGCGCGTACTGCGCAGGTATGGCCAGCGAACCAGTAACAAACCGGTTCAGATTTCACCCCTGGATGTAGTCTCAGGCTGGCTTCCCCCAACCCCTGAATGTTTCACATTGCACCCTCAGACTTACCAATTGCACCTTCCAGTTCAATGATTTTTATCGTCCATTTTGTCAATTCTTCTGCTAACCTCTGAGCACCAGAAAATATTTCATATTCTAAAAAGGTTTGCAAAATTCAAGTCAGACAGATTTCAACAAGCAAAACTTTTCCATGTACCTTGTTTTTTTAAAAAAATAATAATAATAACTTTATTGTTACACTCTACGTTAGAGGCAGAGTGGGATGGAGCCATTGTCAGAGCTTTGATACAGTGCTGTTTCTCAACAGTGATTAAGGTTTATCCATGCTATAATGTTTAGATAACTTAAATCAACTAAGATTAAAAAAGAAAAAAGAAAGAAACATCTTATCAGTATTAATTGTGGTTTAAAATGGCAATGTTAATGAGCATAAGATTATTTAGCTTTGTCATCCAAAATTGAAGACGGCATCAAAGTATTTGTTGTATGATAAAGATTTCAGTCTTACGCTGATTACTTAGCATTAAAGTCTCTACTCTAAAGGTGATTTAATATTATTTGTGCATGTTGAAAAAAGAAAGATACTAAATACTAAACTGCATTAAAGAACTTTAAAGTATAAAGTACATTTGATAAAAATTAAAATACAAAAAAGGGAAGAGAAAAAAGGGGGGACAGGCTATTTGGTTTCTGATTTGCTCCTTTTTGTACTTCTGCTAATTTACAGTATTTATTTTTTAAAAAAATTGAACCTCCTTAGAAGCCAGATTATATTTGCCAGGTTGCATGTACATTTTATGTACAGGAAACGTTCTTGGTTAAACTTGGTTAAACATTTGTGGATAATAGGCACTGTTACTTCTGCCATTGCTATCTATCTATCTATCTATCTATCTATCTATCTATCTATCTATCTATCTATTTTAGAAACTTCCTGTCTCTTTCACAGGGGGATACTGAAAAGATCTGATCTTGCTTACCACTTCCATTTTTGAGAGATGGATCCCGGCTAATAATAAAGTTCTTAATAGCCTTAATTGCTGCATTCATGGATGTTGATCTGTTAAGTTCCGAAAGATCTGGTTTTGTTTTGTTTTTTTAAAAATGAAAATAAGCATAATATTTCAATGCATTGTATTTCTATATATTTCTACCTCCCCACCACCCTGCCCTGATAGCACTGGGCTAATTTGGACCCATTACCATCATGAAGCCCATATGTTTGGATCCTAGAATGTTTTCATGCCACATTTATGCCACAAAGAAACTTCTGTTTCACAAAGACACGCTGCATTACATCTTTGTTCTCAAAGGACCAAAAAAACCCAGCAGTGATTTAAAAACTGAATTGAGGAAACTAACCAAACCCAAAAAAGAAAAAAAAAATCCAGTTACCATAACTCAACTAAAAGCCAACTCTACCTGAATGATTGAGGATCTTCACTGACATAGTGACTTAAAAATGCACAAAATTATAATCTACTGTAAAAAAATATTGGCCACAGACAGGGTCATTTTTCCAGATTAAAAAGGAGACTGCAAAGCATGGAATATTGCTCTCTTTCCAGTCAGAGGATTGTGTTCCAAAAAGTATGAGGGATGCAAACAAAAACCCTGCTGCTGATTTCACTCCATTTGCATTAAATAATAATTAAAGTTTCATGAAATAAATCAAATTGTGAGTGGAATTATTTCTTGAGAGTAACAGTTGGAAGGGACCTTGGAGGTCTTCTAGTCCAACCCTCTGCTCAAGCAGGAGACCCTCTGTCATTCCAGACAAGTGGCTGTTAAAAATCTCCAGTGTTGGAGCTCCCACAGCCTCTGGTGGCAAGCTGTTCCACTGGTTAATTGTTTCTCACTGTCAGGAAATTTCTCCTTATTTCTAGGTTGTTTTTCTCCTTGATTAGTTTCCATTCAATGCTGCCTTCAGGTGCATTGGAGAATAGCTTGATTCCTTCTTCTTTGTGGCAACCTCTTAGATATTGGAAGACTGCTATCAGTCTTCCTGCTAAGGGATTGCAATGCTATGAGCGCTCAATGGTTTGAGTCTTCTGTCCCACAATGACAAGTGATGACTACGTTGGGCAGAATCCCTAAAGCCAGAGCTACTTCTAGCAGAATACAAAACTGCAGTCCTTCTATGTGCCCAGATCCCATCAAGTGTTTTCTGCAACCCCAACTAGCGAATACATTGGGATTAGAGTCCTGTTTGCTCTACTGGGTTGGAGGGAAGAAAGTGACCAGGAGTATAAATGCTACTCCAGTAGAAACCCACCCACCCCAATCAAACACCCCTTGGTGTCACACACAGTCCCAGAACCGAGCTGGACTTTGGCCAGTGTCTTCAGGAAAAAAAGAGACTGGAAGAAAGAAATCCTTGCTTCCACTTATCTATAAAGAAAACTCGTACAGAGAGAAGATCTCTTCCCATCAAGGAATGAAATCTCCTGCATCAAATGGGACTCTGAAGACAAAGGAAGTTGCCATTCGAGGAGGAGTGCAGTGACACCTCATTTGGTCAGGCTGATTGTAGAGAGAGAGTGTCTCTTATTCACGAATGCCTGTTAAATACAAAAGTACATCAGTGGGCCATTTACATCGTCCCTTGTGTGATGCTGTATTTAAGCCAATGACCTCATGACACCATCATGCGAAGAGCATCAAGGTGGAGTCCCTTGTCTTAAGGTCAACTAATTTGAAGTTCCAATTACAAGCTGTTAAAAAAGCAAACCTTTCTACAGGGTAACTAATTTTTATGTTCTAATGTAGTAGGCTAGGAGAGGTTAACTTACACAAAGCGGTCATCACAACTGTGGCCAAAAACAGGAGCAGGCACAACAGACTTGCAAGATATAAACCAGAGCTGGTCAGGTCATGCCATAAATTAGCAAATATCCCTTGAAGGACACAAGAAGAAAAGAAAGAAAAGTCTATTTTAACCACCATCCCAAGAAGAAAGACCTTTGTTATTTGCCTCGTGCTGGTCTTTGAAAATGCCCGGCTAAAATCCTCTCTCACCTCCAAATCTCACTGTTCATCTACGAGGGTGTCCCAAGTAATCATTCCTCCCCATTTCATCCCGGCCTCAGCCACTTTGGAAGTAGGTGGGGCTGAGAGAATGGCTGCCCCCAATATCATCCCGTGAGTTAACCTAGCCAGAGGATAGGAGGAAGAAGAACTGGGCTGCTCTTTCTCTAAAGACCAACTAGAAATGGATCGTGAATTCTTCCCTTTTGGCCTCCAGAAATAGTAGGTGGCCACTCCATTCCCTTTCCTTTCCAAGCCCAGCCCCCACCTCCCGGTCACTCTCGGCCCCTCTGCTCTTCTGGTTTGGTTCCCAAAAGGAAAGAAGAAGGACGAAGAAAGGCAGAGCGAGGACCTTCCCTTCTTCTATGGGGAAGATGGATGGTGAAGGGATGGGTCCCAGGGGAATTGCCCCACTCTTCCCACCCCTGTCTGGAATAGGAAGGGGAGCACATGGCCAGGAGGCTGTAATCTGGGCCTCACTAGGGAATTAAAGGAAGGAGATACTGGTTAAGGTTGATGCGGTACAGGTGCCCATACTCCAGATCTACAGGGAGCAGAATTCGGCCTTTGTTGACCTCAAATAAGTCCATTTTAAAGCAAAATCATAACATCCGAGTCTCAGGAAAGCTACGTCTCAGTCAGCACCAGAGGGAGAGGCTGAGCAGACAACCTTGGTATTCATCAGCCAGTGCAAAGACAAATGGCAACCAAGGAAGCCGTTTGTGGTCACTTTTTTTTTTTTTTTTGCTGAAGAGGCGGCCCAATTTCCCCAATTCGGGACCTCAGACTGAGGCTGGAAGGCTCTTTTAAGAGTGTGAAACCAGGAGATGGTAAAGTCCAACCTTGGCTCACTGTTTCTTGCTTATGAATCTTCAATAGTTTTGTCCACTTCAGCCTCTTCCTGATTCTTGTAATCTCCCCTTTTATATGTCCTACTCTTTTGTGTAATCGTACACATAAAACTTGCATACCTGTATTTTGCTGTGCTCGTCTGACATTGGATCTGGAAGCCACATTGGATCTGGAAGCCACATTGGATCTGGAAGCCACATTGGATCTAGAAGCCACATTGGATCTGGAAGCCACGTTGGCTCTGGAAGCCATGTTGGATCTGGAACTCTCTTACACTTAATCCAGCCCTTAAATAACAACATTAATTGAGTAGGAACACAAGACTCAAAGGATTGATTCAGATCAAGGGTGATCTGACTGAATTTCCATTCAGTTGAAGCTCACTCAAAGCATTGAATTAGGTGATTTTGGAAGATCCTAGAGAAATTTGAACTCAACGTTTGGTGATTCAATCGACTTCTACTTATTCACATAGATTTAAATAAATGCCCTGACTCTCAATGACTTTGGTTGCTTTGCACTATTAAAAGATAGAACAATAAACTGAAAGAATGAAGAGATATGTTCCCAGAAAAAGAAGAACTATTTAAAACAAAAGCAAATCCTCACGGGGGCTCACCCAACCCAAGACTTGGGAGAACAACCAAACTTTCATTGCCTTCCAACTGGTCACCAGGATGGGGGCCATCTGGATCTGGGGGACGCCAGGTGCCCTGACAGAACTATGGACACTTCTGGGGTTCCCCTAGGTTGATACCATGCAAATGAGGGGAGCTGAAGTGCACCCACTCTGCCAAATCTTACGAAACAGGCAGACATTATTGGAGATGGGCAGCCCTGGAAATTGCCAGGCTCCCTGCCCTCAAAAGCTTGATAGGTGATTGAATTGCACCCGGAATCCAACCAGTAACCATTGCAGCTCACGGAGCAGTGGTGTCACTTGCTTGTCACTGATGGGGCAGTGACATTTGAACCACCCGTAGCTTCCAAAAGGTTTTCAAGGGCAGCCCCATATAGAGAGCACTGCAATAATCCCTTCTCGAGGGTGTAGAAAGTTAGCCCCCACCCCTCTTAGAAGAATGAAATATTTTAGGAAATATTAAAAAGGCAGAATATTATATTTTCCCTAAAGGAGGAACAGGTTTCTAAAGAAAGAAACTTGGAGCCTCAGCTCTCTGCCTCAAGTAGAAACTAAGGGGCCAACTTTTAGAAATGCAGATTTGGTCATCCATTCAAGGCAGGATTAAAATCCAGAGGAAGCATCTAGGATTAATGACATTTGTTAAACAAGATTAAACCAGATTTCAACAAGATGAGCTTAAATGGTATGGGGTGGGGATGGTAGACAATAGGAAGACCTGGAGGAAAGTTGTCCATGGGGTTGCGATGGGTTGGACACAACTTCGCAACTAGCAACAGCAGCAACAAACAAGATTAGAAGGCCCCAACTCATTGCCGGCCTTCACGAGACAAACAAATTAAAGTCAAATAACAAAATGCACAAAACAAGTCTCTCAATTACAAAATGCCGTAGAACAACCTGTATAAAAATCCAGGTGCTCATCAAACCGTGTGGTCAGGTACCCAGAATCACAGGTGCTTGGTGGTTCTGCTACTTCATCATTAAACCAACTTTCCAAGCAGCCTCCATGTTTCCAGTGTCTTTCTCCCCACTTGGAAGTGACCCCAGATGGACAGTTCTTCCAACAAGGGGGACCATGGCATGAGTGACTGTCTGGGGGTGGGGGGTTTGATACAGGAACAGACACAATTGGCAGTCTGGATAAAAGTGTGCAAAGACCTTCTTGGCCACAGCGGCTCTTCAAGTAACAGCTGTGAGCCCAAGATGACCCCCATTGCAAAGTGGCCTTGGATGGGGAGGTGCAGCCCCATCCCAAACCAGAGAGTCCCAAGAACCAGGGAGCCCAAATACCCTCAGTGTTGTTGGGATTGAGCCTGATCGATTCCATTTTTAATGTTTGCATCTCTGAGGTTCAAAAAAGAGCCTGCTTTTTCCTACTAAGAGCGGTGTTTGTACCTCCATATTTTATCTTATGATTGCTGTAGAGGGACCACCGGCCTTATAAGCGCCTTGCGCCCGCCCCTCAGGACCATTGTCAGGGCGACCCAGCTGCCAATCAAACAGCAGCGTCCAATCAAAGGGCTGTTGCCAGGCAGGAGGCGAGAAGGAGGGAAGACAAAATGGCTGCCTGGAGCTCTGCCACCACAGGCCTCGTGAGGAAGAAACCGAATAAACAGAGCCGAAACTCAGGAATCGAAGTGAAGATTGCAACTCAAAGATAGACTGCCCTGATGAGGAGAGGCTCTGTAAAGGAGGCAGCAGCTGAAAGAAATGAGGGGAGAGAGGCATTTTTGTCCTTCCCTCAGACAGGCATGAGAAAAAAGTTCTCTCAGCCGTTTCCCTCAGATGGCGCAAAGTTTTTTTTTTTTTTAATTTGATTTATATGCCGCCCTTCTCCAGAGACTCAGGGCAGCTTACAATGCGTTAAGCAATAGCCTTCATACTTTTGTATATTTTATACAAAGTCAGCTTATTGCCCCCACAAACTGGGTCCTCATTTTACCTACCTTAGTAAAGATGGAAGGCTGAGTCGACCTTGAGCCTGGTAAGATTCAAACCTGCAGTAATTGCAGGCAGCTGTGTTAATAACAGGGTGCTTTAAACCACTGTACTACCAAGGCTCTTGGAAGTTTCAGGAGAAGAGAAGAGAAAACGCCAGGAAGCCCAACCAGGAGCAAACAAAGGGGAAATGTGGAATAAAAGTATAAGATTTGGACAGAACAGGAATAGAAAGCAGGAATTAAAAAAGAGAAAAGAAGATTGAACTGAAGTGAAATTGGACTTTTAAAATGTAGCGTAAATAGAAGCCCTGGAAAATAGTTACAGTTTTATTACGATTCATTTCTACACCAGTCTTTAACTTCCTTTCTTTCATTTCTAAGCTTTCCCTTTTTGGCAAAATAAAAGACTTAACAACCACTGAGGAGAGATACAAAATTCCAATTGTCCAAATTTCCATTTCTTTGTTTTCTCCTTCAAGCAACAATGAACCCAATCAAAGTTTTTGTCATAAATAAAAGTGGGAAAGTATCATAGAGATGCTTCTAGGAGCAGACCATGCCATCATATGGATAGGTTAAAGCTGAAAAATTAGAATAAACACATTAGCAAGATTTAATATGGGTGAAGTCTATGGTTTCTGAACCCCAAGAGGAAGAAATCACAGCAAAATCCAGATATCTCCCCAAATTGACTGGTACTTGGACAATTTAGTTCTCAGCCATATCAGCCTCTCATGTCATCCAGCTTCTAAAATCTTATGATGCAGGAGACATTTCATTTATTTATTCAACTTGGATGGTCATCTGTTTCAGCAAGTGACTCTGGGCAGTGAACAATCTTTAAATGAATTAGAAATAAATTTCCATCAGAAGTACAAAAATTAAAATAGCACAGCAGCCAAGGACAATGTTACAGCCCATAGTTGTTCACACAACCAGTACCAAAGGCCAGCAGGATCAGGGCCATCCTAATCTCTGCAGGAAGGGTGCTCCCTAGGACGGATGTTCTGGCAGAAAGTTAACTATTAGTGACTCTGTAAGTGTCGTTAATGACTCCGCTTTTATTCTGACTCTGTAAACCGCTTAGAGAGGGCTGTAAAAGCACTGTGAAGTGGTATATAAAGCTAAGAGCGATTGCTATTGCTTGCTCGGCAAACTTGCTGTCACTCGAGAAGAGGAGATCTCTCAGGGGGTGTAATCCATCTCCCGCTTGAAAACATAAGTGGCCTTTCCTCCGAGCCAGGACACCACTATTCCCTTAAAAGGGAACGTGAATCCAAGCTCAGCAGCAAAGCCCAGAGAAACGGAGGACCCATGGATGCTCCCAGCTGTGAAAATGCTCAGGGAATGGGCTCCCCAAATATCCTGCAGCCGCTGAGGTTGGCAGGAGAAAGAGAAGTCCTCCTCCTCACTCGTGCAAAATATTCCTTCTGCCTCCTGCTGAACCGTCCCTCCTCCTTGCCCCATTCAGAATGCAACTGGCACTCAGGGCACCTTCCCCAGGAAGAAGGTCCCTCTCGGCTGCATGGAAATCCTTCTGTCTCGGGCACATCCTACCTCTGATGCACAAAATGGGATGAGGTAAGCCAGCAAGGATCCAGTGTAGATTTAGCAGTGTGAAACATAACAAAGAAATGCACAGAGACACCAATTCAGGCAGTGGCTCCAAGGCCTCTGCTTGTAGCACATGCTGACTCTTTGCTCCCTCTTTCCTGCCCTGTTTCATTCTCCCCTTTTGTGCAGCCATCTGCTGCAGCTCCTCTTGAAGCCCCACAAGGGGATGCCCATGTCTGGGTGCACGAACCTCTCAGAAGAGAGAAATAGTGGGATTGAGAGGGGGGGAGAGAGTGAGAGGAGGAATCCTGCTGCCCTCTGTGGCCATCTCAATGTGTACTACTCCACGGTGTCTAAGAGAGAATGATGTTCAGGCAGCCAAAGGGGAGGGTCCTTTGAGAAAGGGCAGCCCTTATAGCAGTGGTGGGTTTCAAAATTTTTTACTACCGGTTCTGTGGGTGTGGCTTGGTGGGCATGGCATGGCTTGGTGGGTGTGGCTTGGTGCACGTGGCAGGGGAAGGATACTGTAAAAACTCATTTTCTCCCGATCAGCTGGAACTTTGGAGGCAGAGAATAGATGGGGTGGGGCCAGTCAGAATTTTTACTACCAGTTCTACAAACTAATGAAAATTTCCGCTATCGGTTCTCCAGAACTGGTCAGAACCTGCTGAAACCCACCTCTGCCTTATAGATGTCCTGTTCCATCCAATCTGCTTTGCTAAAAGTGAGGGTCCCAAAGGGGCTGCCTCTCCCCCTCCCCCCCTCCCGTTATATTTACAGATGGGTTCAGTTCAACCCCAACATTCCCCTTCAACCAAATCACCAGCTTGGAGGCTTTTGCTGAGTTACATCCTGGGCAGCTGGCCAGTGAGAAAAGCTGATGTTCACCTTTCAAGAATAACCACCCGTCCTCTCCAAAGGAAGACTGCGGATAATGTGGTGGTGCCTCTGTCAGCTTCTTTTCTCCCAGCCTCTCTTCCCTCCTGGCATCGATCCTTCTGTCAACACCTTCAACCATCATTCCAGAATTCCCATTCAGTTTATGTGGTTCCCTGATTGGCTGACTGGCTCACTTCTTCAGCGTTCCATGTGTGGCATCAGTCGTGGAAAATCTGGGCCTCAGATCTAGCCTCAGATCAAGAGCTGTGGAAAAGGTGAGACATTCCCCACTCTTAGAATAATAGAATAACCCCTCCAGATCAGGATGAGCAGAAGTGTGCCTCCTACTAGCGTGTCAGTGAAGGTGCCAAGGAGACCTATTTTGAGTTTTTCCAGCGTGGGCTTTCATCCCATGCTCCCTATTTCAGTCAAATAGAGCTGGAAGGGACCTTGGAGGTCTTCTAGTCCAACATCCTATACCAGGAAACCCTAAACCATTTCAGACAAATGGCTGTCCAGTCTCTTCTTAAAAACTGTCAGTGTTGGAGGACCCACAACTTCTGGAGGCAAGCTATTCCACTGATTAATTGTTCTAACTATAAGGACATTTCTCCTTAGTTCTAGGTTAGTTCTCTCCATCCATTGCTTCCATCCTGCCTTCAAATGCTTTAGAGAATAGGTTGACCCCCTCTTCTCTGTGGCAGCTCCTCAAATATTGGAACACAGCTATCATGTCACCCCAGTCCTTTCTTTCCTTAAGTAGACATACCAAATTCCTGCAACCATTCTTTGTATGTTTTAGCCTCCAGCACTCTCATCTTCATTGTTGGTCTTCTCTGCACTCTTTTGAGACTCGACAACTTTTTTATATTGTGGCAACCAAATTCATTTTGTTGGATAGGGCCCATTCCACGTAAAAATGTGGAATAGACAACATCACCACCAAATAGATTTGTAGCTGGCTGACAAACCATACTCAACGAATAGTCCTTAATGGCAATACATCCACATGGAGAGAAGTAAGTGGTGGGGTACCACAAGGCTCCCTGTAAGGTCCACTATGCTTCAATATTTTTATAAATGACTTAGATGAGGGAATAGAAGGGGAACTCATCAAATTTGCAGATGATACTAAGCTGGCAGGAATGGCCAACACTCCAGAAGACAAACTCAGGATCCATAAAGATCTTGACAAACTTAAACAATTGGCTCTATCATACAAAATGAATTTTAATGAGGAGAGGGCAGGGAAAATCAAAGGTATAAGTACAGATTAGGCAAGATCTGCCTCAACAACAGTCACTGTGAGAGGGACCTTAGAGTCCTAGTGGATAATCACTTGACTATGAGCCAGCCGTGCGCAGCAGCCGCCAAAAAAGCTAATACAATTCTGGGTTATATAAACAGGCATAGAATCAAGATCACGTGAAGTATTAGTGCCGCTTTACAAAACCCTAGTAAGGCCACACCTGGAATCCTGCATCCAGTTTTGGTCAGCAAATTACAAGAAAGATCTTGAGACTTGGGGAAAAAAAGTTCAGAGAAGAGCAACTAATATGATGAAAGGCCTGTAGACTAAAACATGAAGAACGGCTGCAGGTTTTGGGTTTGGCTAGTCTAAAGAAAAGAATTAGGGGTGACATCATAACAGTATTCCAGTATTTGAAGGGCTGCCACAAAGAAGCGGGGGTCAAATTATTCTCCAAAGTACCAGCAGGCAGGATAAGAAACAATGGTTGGAAATTAATCAGGGCAGCAACCTGGGATTAAGGAGAAACGTCTTAACAGTGAAGACAATTAACCAGTGGAACAGCTTGCCACCGGAAGTTGTGGGTGCTCCATCAGGAGGTTTTTAAGACGATACTAGACAGTCACTTATCTGAAATGGCATAGGTTCTCCTGTTTGAGCTGGTGGCTGGACTAGAAGACCTCCAAGGTTCCTCCCAGCTCTATTCTATTCTAAATTCTATGGTGAAGTCTGTCTATATGTTGTGAAATTAAAGACTTTTCATCGTGTCTTCTGTCATGCCCAGTGAATAGTCATCAGTTTTCTTATTTTTTGGTTCAAATTGTCCAGTTCAGTTTGTGTCCGGTTAATATTTCCGGCTGTCTATTGGATCACAGGTTGGCCCAGTTATTGATGCTGTTTCCACTGCTCAATTTTGTCTTCTCAGTCTTCAGTTGTATTCTTTACGAATCGGATTATTAACTTGTCCATGCAAGTGATCCAGAAATGTAAAATCCCTAGATACTTGTAAGCTTCCTCCTGAGGGCTCCTGATGGGTTCTTTGATCATTTGGCATCCCAGTTCCATTATCGGTCATGAGGTTAGCCTGCCTTATTGCTACTGAAGCACATTGAAGCCAAACTCCATTGCTACATCTCTGCCCCACAAATACTTACAATGTTTGTCAGTGATGGGATTTGGAGTTCTGATTTTTCCATAAAACTTCAGGTCATCCACGTAAGGCAAATGTGAGGTTTTATTCCCTTTTTTTTGGTTTAGTTTTTGCTGCTCGATAGCCAGATTTATTTTCATGATCACAAAGATGTTGGCCCATTCTATTGTGAGGAACGTATTGTGAATAGGAGTGTGTCAGCAGAATAAAAAAAAAAAATAGAAAGAATGCCAGCAGAGTAGAAAGATAGAAAGAATGTGTGTGAGTCAAATAGACACATAGAAAAAGGTCTAGATCTGAGTAAGCCTGATCCAAAATTTCTATGGCAACCTACTGACATGCCTCTTTTTCTAAGACAATGATTAAGACACTAAGGGAGCCACCACAGAGAAGGCCCTTCTTCTTGGTCCCACCAGATGGACTCCTGCCAGGGTTCCGACCGATGCCCTAATTACCGTATTTTTCGGAGTATAAGATGCACCGGAGTAGAAGATGCACCTACCTTTTTTGTTTTGTTTTTTTTATAAAAAGCTTTTTTTAAATTTTTTTAGACAAACACATATACAAACATACAATGTATTTTCTTTGAACAGGGTATTTGGCCGGTTCACAAATTTAAACAGTGTTTAGTCATTTCAATTAAATTTACAATTTCTATATTTCCTTTTTGCCATATTTATTCCTCATCTATTTTTTAAAAAAAACAATATTACCCTTCATCCTCATCTCTAATCTTAATCAAATTCAATTTTTCCTTTCTATTCTATATTATACCCCTTCGGCAATATCTGACATTCCCATTGTCATCTATTTTTAAATCCACCCTCACATTGGTTAATTATGTAGTATTACAGTTGTTTAATACAAATTCAATATTTTAATATAAATCAATTAGTTATATAACTATCTTTTTTGTATATTAATGAATATGAACATGAATATTCCAATTATTTCCATGCAATCCAATTTCTTACAAATCAATTCATATTTACCAATAATAATAAACTAAATAATTTTCCCCATATATTCCTCAAAAACCACAACTTAACCATTTCTGCTTTCAACACAATATACAATTAATAGTATCTCAATTATTACAATTCCCTAGTTAAATAGAGCTTTCTCCTTATGTTACTCATTTTCACATCTTAAACTCTCCCAATAACCCAAATAGTTTTTTGCTCATATAATCCTCCAAATCACAACTTAATCATTTCTACTTTCATCACAATATATAATTAAAAATATTTCAATTGTTACAATTTCCCTAATTAAATTTTAAAATGTTCTAGCTGTTATCCAAGCTACAATTTAATCCTTTTTACTTTCACCACCATATACCATTAAAGGTATTTCAATTATTAGTTTATACTTATCCATATTTCTAAAAAAAATAAAAAAGTTATCATTGTCTAGATTTCAAAAATACAAAGACAAATATTCCAATTATTAGTCATTTCATTTTTACAATCATGATTTCTCATTATTTCTTACTACTATTCATATTTGTATAACAAAATATGTATAACATCTTTCTCTTTCATTTCTTTTTCTTTTTCTCCCTTCCCATTTTTATTTTTGCCTTTTTCTTTCTCCTTTTTTTCTTTTGTGTTTTAAAATCTTGAACTCTCCACTTTTGCCCTAAATTTCCCATTGTTTGCACCTATCTTTTTTGGTGAGGAAAAGAAAAAGAAATCTCCCTCTGCCTCTGAGCAATTTTGCCTGGTTGCAGCAAACAGCCTGCTTTACTTTCAGTTTTGTTTTCAGCATAGCTTGATTAGCACAAGGGGGAGGGAATCTGCTCCAGCACTCTTTGCAGCAAGCAGCAGAGCCCTGTGCAAAACAGCTGAGAGCAAATCAGCTGAGAGTTGGGAGGCCAATCTAATCAACTTGTGCTAATTAGCCTATGCTGAAGCTGAAAGAAGCAGTTTTTTCTTGCTGTTTGCTTGCAAGGAGGTAACTGCTGCGAGGCACAGGCCAAAGGGTGGGGACCAGTGGGTGGGCAGGACTACATTTGGTGTATAAAACACAACTAAATTTTCACCCCCTTTTGGGGGGGGAAAGGTGCATCTTATACTCCGAAAAATATGGTAAATCATGAGCCTCGAGCCAAGCTTCAAAAGAAATCCAGTTATTTATTAGGAGCTTCATGTCGGCATGTTCCAAGTGAAGCCAGCTCTGACCTCACGTAATTCACGCCCTGGCTCTGACCCTGTTTCCCCCTCCCTGCAAGGTGTGTCATCAGTCACATTCCCCAACGAAGCAATTTCGTGGGTTGTAGAGTCCCTCCCTCCAGCCACTAGGTATCCGTGGAGATGACCTTGACAGAAAGATGGCTGGAATGTGCTTTTGTTTTGACTGAAGTGTGATTGCCTCACTGCAGTTGTGAGGCTCGGTTCCCCATCCCCCTGCCTATGGCAACCCGAGAGGCGGTCAGGAATGCTTCGCGAGTTGACACCTCCTGAAGAGGGAGGACTAATAACATTCCCTGCCTCCCTGCTCTGGTGGGTCAGGTGGACGCAACTGGGAAAAGAGAGTCCTTCAAATAACCTGGTCCTAGGCCATGTAGGGTTTTAAAGATGACAACCAGCATCTTGAATTGGACCTGGAAGCAAATCAGCAACCAATACTGTCCCTGCAAGAAAGTGACACATGTGCAAATCTAGACTTGCTAAAAACCACGTGGGCCAATGTATTTAGAACCAATCAAAGCTTCTGGATACCTTTCAAGGGCAGCCCCATCTGGAGGGCCTTGCAGTAATCAGGACGGAGGTTGCTTGTGCTATGAGTGACTGTGAGCAGGGCTTGTTGGTCCAGGAAAAGGTGTGACTGATGTACAATCTGTAGTTGCTTAAAGGGTTCAGGTTTCTATATGCTTCAGAGGGAGTCTTCCCAGTGAACCCTGAATAATAAAGGCTGCAAAGAGCCTTGATTATTTATTCTGGATTTTCATTCTGTACCACTAATTCAGCAAACCACAACTTATCATATCTCAATACACTTTTTCATATGGTTTAAGATATATTTTGTCAAGATGATAAGAGCAGGTAGGAAGCTGGCAGAGAAAAGGAAATTGGCAAAATTTGGTTCACACAATGGATTTATTAATGCCATTGCAGCTGGGATTGGAGATTTTATAATGAGATTCCACTGTACATTAGCTAGTACATCCACCTGCGCTTTGGCTCCAATTTACAACAAAAGTATCTTGCCTCGTTACAAGGAGCATCATGCCAACAGAATTTATTAGTGCAGGGAGGTATGGCGACAACGCAGGTTTCTCTCTGATGACCATCAGGCTGCCCTGGATACCAGAAACTGAAAAAAGAGCAATACTCATCAGTCCCTATCTTGCTCTAGAATGGATAGAGATAGATCTAGAGAAGAAGATCTAGAGATATAAATGTAGATATCTAGATCCAGGTTTAGATTTGCTCCAGATCTAGATTTATTTTAATAGTTCAATAAATATCCCCTTCTGCCACCAAATCACTGTCACAATGGGTTATTGTTAGATTAGGGTTTTCTGTCTGTATGAAATAGAAAACCTGTTACTGGCAAATTTACAGCAGGGCGTTGGGGGAGGGGGTGAGTGGATATTTGAAATTCAACAGGAGGTCCCTAGGGACTTCCAGTGGTCAAGGGTAAGGGGAGATGTTAGGGGTTATATTTCACCTTGTCCGATCTGCGGCAGAAGTTGATCTAATAAAAGAGAATCTTTGTAGCTCAGGGTTGAAATGGTGCACTCTGAGCGTCATTGTTTTCTTGCAGACATTTCATTACCCAACTAGCTAACATCATCAGAGCTAGTGCCATCTGATGGTGTTACCTAGTTTGGGTAACGAAATGGCTGCAAGAAAACAGCCAAGCTCAGAGAGCACCAAGGACCCTTCAGAAGAAGATCTGTTCCCAGAAAGTACGTGGCCTGCTGCAGCCTCTGGAAACCATTTCAGGACGAGGGCCACTGTATCACTGGATTTTATTACCAAACTTCCCAAGGGAAGGGATGCTACAGCATCCGGTTAGTGGTGGATTTATTTACCAAATCGGCCTTGCAAAGACATAGCTCAGGAACCAGCCCAGTTCTTTCTGGACAATGCTTGTAGATACAAAGGGTCGGCCAATCAGGACCTTTTGGACCCAGGCTAGATTTTTCTGGGTTGGGGCCATGGCTGATTGGTCCATGCTTCTGTCAGCAGACTCCCAGAATTTCTGGGGATCCGACCCCCCTTCTTGCAGCCCCATAATGATTTCCTTGTCTCCAGCAAGAGCCCGTTTGCTAGCATGGTGAAAGTGCTGGCCTAGAAACCGGAGATGGTGAGTTCTAGTCCTGTCTTAGGCATGAAAGCCGATTGGCTGACATCGGGCCAGTCACTCTCTTCCAATGCAGCCCACCTCACAGGGTTATTGTGAGGAAAATAGGAAGTAGTATTAGGTATGTCTGCCGCCTCGAGTTATTTATCAAAGTAATAAAGGTGGGATAAAAATGAAATAAACAAACTTGGATTCTGTTCCTCAACCACCCTGATTCTGAAATGGCCCTTGGGTGCTTCTGATTCTGTTGATTGATGTGGTTTGTTAGACTTCCTGCCTTTGTGTGACCATCTGTGGCTGTTCACTTGAGATTGTGCTTTGCACTGCACCGACAATCGTGGTTAGCAGCAGCTCTCCTGCTACGTACATTCCTGTTGCTTGGTTTGACCTCCACGTTGCCACTCACTTATCATGATGTGTAAATCCAACAACTGGTCTGCCAGGACTGAGGCTGGCCTTGGGGGGAGGATGGTAGGCATGAAACTCTGATGCACAACTTGTCACATAAGTAGATTTTGTTTGAAAACTTACTTTTCTTTTGGAATGTCTCCATTTATCCATATCAGGTCATCAGTAATATTATCTTTCTTGTAGAGTCCAAGCCAATAGTCGTGCTTATTTTTAGTTACCATTTCATTTATAAAGCCCTTGAGGAGGGAAAATTAGGTGTAGATAGATAGAAGATGGATGGATGGATGGATGGATGGAGTTAGAAAGGAAGGACAGGAAAGAAAAGAGGGGGGGGGATAGAGATAAAGTTTAGTGGAAATTGAAAGGCTTAAGAGAGGAACATATGTGGCCCATGATTCATCCCGAGACCCCTTCCCAACTTTCAGGGGCTTTGACAATCTATGGCAGGGGAGTCAAACTGGATTTCTTCAAGGGCTGGATCAGCATTGTAGTTCTCCAGGGAGCGCAGGGGAGGGGAGATGGGACTGATGCCTCCTGCAGCACCTTGCTGGCCAAAACGGGGCAAGGGAGCAGTGCACTGACAGACACACTGCAGGCTGGTCCTTTGATATTTCCAGGCCAGCCTCACGGGCTGGATTTAAGCACCCTGCGGGCTTCATCCGGCCCTCGGGCCTTGAGTTTCCCTGATCTATGAGATAAAGCAACAGTCATTTGGTGAAAAACACTTTGGTGGAACACACTCTTCCTGTGTTTTCAGATTACAACTCCAAGGATTAACAAATAACAGAATAACAGCTTTGGAAGGGACCTTGAAGGTTTTCCAGTCCAATCCCCTGCCCAGGAAGGAATCCCTATACCATTTCAGACAAATGTCCAATCCTTCTTAAAAACCTCCAATGTTGGAGCATCCACAAGTTCTGGAGGCAAGTTGTTCCACTGATTAATTGTTCTCTCAGGAAATTTCTCCTTAGTTCTAAATTGCTTCTCTCCTTAATTAGTTTCCATCCATTGCTTTTCTGTCTTTAGGAGTTTTGGAGACTAGCTTGACTCCCTCTTCTTTGTGGCAACCCTGAGATATTGGAAGACTGCTATAATGTCACCTCTAGTCCTTTTCTTCGTTAGACTAGATTTACCCAATTCCTGCAACCGGTTTTTATATGTTTTAGCCTCCAGCCTTCTAATCACCTTTGTTGCTCTTCTCTGCACACTTTCCAGTCTCAACATCTTTTTTTATATCGTGTTAATCAAAACTGGACGCAATATTCGATATGGTCTTACGAAGACATTATAAAGTGGTATTGACACTTCTCGTGATCTTGATTCTCTCCCTCTGTTAATGCCGCCTAGAACTCCATTGGCGTTTTTGGCAGCTGCAGCACGTATTTCAGTGATTGTCCACTAGGACCAAGATCCCACTCAGAGTTACTATTATTGAGCCAATTAGCCTCAATAGTAGATTAGGGTATAAGGAAGGGGTTTAGGATATGAGGTTCCAGCTCCTCCTTCCTTCCTTCCTTCCTTCCTTCCTTCCTTCCTTCCTTCCTTCCTTCCTTCCTTCCTTCCTCCCTCCCTCCCTCCCTCCCTCCCTCCCTCCCTTCTTTCTTTCTTTCTTTCTTTCTTTCTTCCCATCCCCCCTCTCTCTCCCTTTCTCTTTCGTGGACAAGATTTCTGAAAAGCAATATGGCACCACTTCTAAAATGTTCAGAACTGTTTACAGCCTGGCAAAAGCATGTAGACCAATTTCAAGCAAAGAAGAATTGATAGAATTGCAAACTGAAAATGGAGTAGATCTGGGAATAGGATTGCATTCAAGGCCAACAGTTGTGAAAATAATTGAATGCATTGCAAACGAAATTAAAACCGAAATGTTTACCAGCATCATTGTACAGAATCTGAAAATATGTTTGATCATTGACGAAGCCTCAACATATCCTACAAACCAGTTTTGATAGTTTTCGTAAAAATTGAGGACTCAGAGGACCCACCAACAATTTTTGTCAAGCATGTTGAATTGAAGAAACAAGATGCAGACACAATATGTTCTGCAGTTCTGGAAAGTTTACATAAGGTTGGGTTCACCCAGAACTACCTACAAAAAAATTAATAGCATTTTGCTCTGATGGTGCCAGTGTTATGCTTGGGAGAAAATCTGGAGTGAACACCAGAATAGCAAAAGAGTTTTCGAACATCATCATGTGGCACTGCTTGAACCATCGGCTCCAACTTGTTTTAGATGACTCCATAAAGGAAATAAAGCAAGTAAATCATTTTAAAATATTTATTGATAAGATATGCTCTATTTTTCAGCAATCCAATAAGAACCGAATTGAACTTGATGAAATATCCAAAGAATTTGACATTAACATTGTAAAGATTGGTAGAGTTTTTGGGCCAAAATGGGCTGCCTGTAGTTTAAGGGCAACCATAGATGTGTGGTGTGTTTATCCAGTGCTACATCAGTATTTTCATGCGAATGCAAAATACTCAGGTATGGCTGCCCATTTGGAAAATAAATATTTTTAAAATGATTTGGCATTGGTTGTGAGGGATCTCACGAAGATCGATGGTTCATTGAGGGCGCTTCCAAGAAAAAGCAGCATGCAAGGATGCAATCAAGTTGAATCTTTATTTAGAAGTAAAGTAGAGTAAAATGAGTTCCCTGGCATGGAGGCATCCATGCCTGGATTGAGCCCGTGGTTCAGTCCTGTAGGAAGTTAGAACAAGAGCACAAAGAGCAGCCCCTGTGCGGGGATTCTTATAGGGGCCCCTGGCCCCTCCCTTACCAATGTGTGAGGGGGGCGGAAGGCCATTAACTCTCCCCAATGGGGCTGCAGGGGCTGGAGCCCCTTGACCCACCAGTGGGATCAAAAGTCCCTCTTTGCTCCCATCTGGTGGCCTTTTAAGAAACTGCCATGGCTGGCACAAAAACACCTAACATTGGTGATCAATATTCTGGAAGAAATCTCACTTCTTTCAATTGCACTTCAAGCAAGTAATAATGAACATCATAAAGGCTGGTGAGAAGATCAATGAAAGCATTTGAACTGCTTACGAAGGGAAAAGGTCCATACGAAAGAAAAGTTGACGGACTAATTACTTCAGAAACCTTCAAAAATATAAACTTTGTAGAAAATCTTAAAATTTGTTGGACTTCATTGGGAAAAATGTTTAGGAAGCATCATAACAAATTTGCAGAAAAGGCTAATGGACTGGGATTTTGTAGAAGTAGTAGTTCCATGGACAGCAGTTGAAGAACAACTGCGCACATTTGGTGACATTTTCAATTACAACATTAACATCAATGACTATAGAGATTTTGTGGAGAATGTGTTAAAAGATTCGAAGAACTATGCAATTCCTGTCAGTATTAAAAAAGCAAAAGATATTGTCAGAAGAATTGCTGTAAGTTCTGCAGAAGTGGAAAGGGGTTTTTCAAAAATGAACTTCATATGTTCAGAGAGCAGAAGTGGCCTAACCGTTTCTAATATAACCAACCTCATGACCAGGGCCGGATTTAGATGAAAAGAGGCCCTAGGCTATTCCACTTATGAGGCCCTTTCACCTATAGTGAAAGTGTAATTTTAATTTTGCTAATAGTTTGAATGTAGGCCCCTTTTGATCTTGAGGCCCTAGGCTGAAGCCTAGTTAGCCTATAGGAAAATCCGGCCCTGCTCATGACTATCAATGTTACTGGCCTACCTCTTCCAAAATGCGACCCTATTCTTGCAGTGAAAAAGGGGTTCAGAGAACACCATCGCTCAGCCGATGATCTGAGAATCAAGTTCAAGAAAAGTGGAAGTGAGGAGAGTGCCAATGAAAAAACAATGTGGAAACATCTTAAAGTTAAAGATGACTAACACTTTTATGTAAGTATTTGTGTACTTTTTTATTCTTATTTAAGTATTAAATGGTTACATTTTTATATCATGGTATATCTTCTTTTTGTAGGTCATTATTATCATAGGTGCAAAGAAGTGACATCGAAGACAACACTTTTATTGTTCTTATGTAAGTATTTGTGTACCTCTTATTGTTTTGTGTACTTTGTTTACGCTCACCCGGTCACATGACCACCCATAGAACCGGTAGGGAAAATTTTTAGATTTCACCACTAGAGTCAATCTATTCTTCAAAGCACCTGAGGGCAGGAGAAGAAGCAATGGATGGAAACTAATAAAGGAGAGAAGCAACTTTTAGAACTGAGAAATTTCCTGACAGTTAGAACAACTTATCAGTGGAACAATTTGCCTCCAGAAGTTGTGAATGCTCCTACACTGGAAGTTTTTAAGAAGAGATTGGATAACCACTTGTCTGAAGTGGTGTAGGGTTTCCTGCCAAACAGGGGGTTGGACTAGAAGACTTCCAAGGTCCGTTCCAACTCTCTTATTCTGTTCTGTTCTAAACAGTAAATAACACAAAAGCAGTTTGTCTCTCTTTTCCGCTTCCCAGCAAATTCCCTGCCTTTTTGGGTCCTAACCAGGCCTGATCAAGGATGCCCGCTGCCCACTTTCTCTCTTGCCCTTATCACTCTGCCCGCCAACACAGAGAAGCGGCTCCAGAAAGATTCAGCATCTATTCCTCCCTTCTGCCTCTCTTACTCTCACTTGCTCTCCTTCTCCTGTGTTAGGAATCCAGGCAGCTTCCTAGTTCTACCCATTTTCAATCACCAGGCAACTTATCTTCATTTTGGAAAAATAATTGAGACTTTTTCATGAAACACCCATTTTAGAAAAATGGTGACACATATGCCTGTACTCACTTGTTCTTCACCATATTTACCAATAACCAAATCTGCAGTATGCCTTGCTAAACAGTCTTCACGAGCAGCATGCCAAGTTTTCCGTACATCAGAAAAATAATAGAGATTTTTTTCGAAAGCTTGCCAGCCTGGAAGCAGTTCAGTAAGAATTTCTTTGAACCCGTAGAGAAAACAAAAAGACTGCATCAAAAATCTTACAAGCATATTCTAATTTTTAAAATTAATTTACCATTCAAAGTTAATTGTATACTTCTGTTGGAGTACAGTGCTCTTCCTAATATTTCAGGAAGTATTTTTCAGAGAGGACAGTTTTCTGTAATTTTTATTTATTAAATTTATTATGTCCATCTTATGGCTCAAGGTGACTGTGAGTGGCCATATGGTCCATTGTCCTTCCATGACGCACTGTTCCATTATTTTACTTTTTAAAATTATTTTAAATAATAATAAAACAAAACTGCAGCACCTCCTGAACACCGTTGGCATTGACAAAATGGCCATTGGTCAATTGCAAAAGGCAGCTTGACTCGGAACAGCTTACATTCTGTGCTGATTTCTTTCACACCATCAAACAAGCACATCTGCCTATCCCAAGTCCTTGGGAAGAACTCAGCAGGAGGATAAAAATGCCAAATCGAATCTGAACACCCGGCTGTGCAATAAACCAATAATAATAATAATAATATGTTTTTCTTCTCCTGAACAATCCTTCAGGATTAATAAATATTTGCAAATGCTACCTCTGTTCGTTCCATTTTTCAACAAAATGCTTAAATTCAGAGGTTACTTTTATGGAAAAGTCAGATACTTAAGACTCTCATGATAATGTGGTTTTTATCAACTAGTGTCTCGGAATAAAACCTAAACCCAATGCAGGTAGTCCTCGACTTATAACAGTTCATTTAGTGACCGTTCAGAGTCGCAACAGCACTGAAAAAGTGACTTATGACCGTTGCAGCATCCCCAGGATCATGTGATTCACATTCGGATGCTTGACAGTTGTAGTGCCTCAGGATCATGTGATCACTTTTTGCAATCTTCTGACAAGCAAAGTCAATGGGGAAGCCAGATTCACCTAAGAACCATGTTACTAACTTAACAACTGCAGTGATGCACTCAAGAAATGTGGCAAGAAAAGTCGTAAAATGGGGCAAAGCTCACTAAACAAATTTCTCACTTAGCAACATAAATTTTGGGCTCAATTGTGGTCATAAATTGAGGACTACCTGTATGTATTATTGCAGGCTCAATAGAAGGGTTACTGTTTGGCATTCTTGAATGTTGCTGTCTTGGTAATTATATCCCAGAAGTTTAGACTATATCTGTGCAAAAGGAGACAAAACTTACTAGCTATTTGGAAGCATCAGGTATCATAAACTTTGATTAGATGTTTGAAATTAAAGATTATAGACCACTTTGAGATTGCAGAAATGCTCTCCGATTCCTTATTCTACAGGATTGCAGACTTGATTGACTTACTCAGTTCGTTTTGTAGCTCTTCGTTCTTTAAAGTCCAGTTCAACAGATGCAACGTAAGGAGATGAACCGCAGCAAGAATTTCCATGTCTAAAAACATGCATCAATTCAAGTCAGGAGATGTGAAGTAAAAATCTACATGTCCCAATTCTTTTAGATTTGGGGAGATTAAGGAGACCATGAGAGAAGAAGATGAAATCCTGGAAGATTTTGAATGAATGACAGTTAACGTACATGAGATCTGCAAAGTCCTCATGCATAATTATCTCTCTAAATTTAGACCTTTGAGGATGATTTCTTCAAAGGGCAGATCGGGGTGGGAGCCAACCTCAGAAAACATTGACTATATTACGTTGGCAGCTCATACAACGGAGGGACCGTGTTTCCGTGTCTTCTTACCTCAGGGCCATGTACAACAGGATATTGCTTTGCTAGGAAGTCTCTCAACTGGACATAACCAAGTTGCACCTTCTCTAGCCTGATCATAAAAGCTGCCCCATTGTACTGCAATCGAGCAGTTGTTTCTGAACTGCTGGCTCCTTGCTTACCACTTTTGCCGTGTAAACTTGGATCATATGTCAATGCAAATTGTCGAACTGAAGCCACTGCTTCTAGATGTTGCTGATTCTTTTTCAGTTCAATTTGATCTGTAAAAGGGAAAGGTGAAGAAGTCGGGTGTTAAGCTCCCATCTCAATGGTTATAATTGAATATACAATTACTTTGATTATTATTATCTGTGACAACCTGGTAGTCAACGCCTCACGGTATGCCCTGGAGAATAGGTTGACTCTCGACATGTGCAGCACCTTCCCTCCATTGGGCTTTTTCCAGAGGTATAAAGAAAAAACCTCTTGAAGAGAATAATTCTGTGGACTTGCCCCATCATTGCCCAATTTTGGTTTGATTAATTATTACAGGTAACCTTTGGCTTACAGTTAAAACAATTAATCAGTGGAACAACTTGCTTCCAGAAATTGTGAATGCTCCAACACTGGAAGTTTCTAAGAAGAGCTTGGACCACCATTTGTCTGAAACGGTATATGGTTTCCTGACTGAGTGAGGGTTGGACTAGAAGACCTCCAAGGTCCCTCCCTTTCAACTCTGTTATTCTGTTATATACTTTCTGTTACAACTACAACTGAGCCCAAAATTTCTGTTGCTAAGTGAACCTTTTGTTAAGTCAGTTTTTCCCCATTTTATGACCTTTCTTGCCACAGCTATTAAGTGAATCACTGTAGTTGTTAAGTTAGTAACACGGTTGTTAAATGAATCTGGCCTCTCCATAGACTGGATCAGAAGGTTAGAAAAGGTAATCACATGACCCCAGACACTGCAACCATCATAAATATGAGCCAGTTGCCAAGCATTATGATCACGTAACCATGACGAGGCTGCAATGGTCATAAGTGTGAAAATGTGCTGTTGTAACAGTCACTAAATGAACTGTTGTAAGTCGAGGACAACCTGCATTTTATCTAATACATTTGTATCCAACATTCAGGGTGGTCTACAACTCTTGAAAAGTCAAATGACGGAACACAAGAATAATAGTAGTACAATGAAAACCCAAAGCAAAGGTGCTTTTTCCACCTGGAAAGTCCAAGAAACTGGACTTTCTTGGTGTTTTCCTTGAAAACATTTATGGTTAACATCATTAACCCTTTCAGCTCTCAAAATAGGGTCACCGGCATCACAGATTCGTCATGTTTCTTCCCCCAATTTTCAAACCACATCCATCTTCTTTCCATCCAACGTCCCTTCAGACGTATTCAGTAGGTAGGTGGAACAAATAAGGAGACTCCTTTGACACTCCTTTGCCAGTCTGGAGCCGGTCCGTTCTGTCCGTTCTATGGCTTCCTGTATGCAGGTTTTGTATATAGGGCACCATGAGATATTCCCTAAGATCTTCTTAGGTCTCTAAGCACAGATTGACATGATGAATACAGTCAGAGGCCTTGGCTTTCTCAGCGATCCAGCACGGAGCCCAAAAAAGTCTCCTGTTCCTTGGACTTTTCTAAAGGCACCTGAAACCTCATCTTTCCCATCGAAGGCTCTTATCGGTGCTGGATGGCCATGAGCACAATGGTAGCATGGAATATTAGAGATGCATAATCAGCTACGTTTCCTTTCTTTGGGGTTGGTATGTATGCTGGCCTCTCTCAATCGGTTGACCACTGCCTCATTCTCAGGATTGGCCAACATCGTTTGGTTCAGACCTTTACGAATTCTTGTTCTGTGGCCTACAATATTTCTGTGGGAATTCCATCGCTTCCTATAGCCTTCTGATTCAACTTGCTTCTCGTAGTAGAAATGCTTGTCAGTGGGGAATAGCTTCTAAAGTATCTTGGATGTTGACGCCTCCAGTCCACAGACTCTCAGTGCTTTTCCTTCCTGCTTTGTTTGATCTCTGTGGCATCAGATATTATTATTTATTTCATCAATTTATGTATTTATTTGCTGCCCAACTCATCACAATCGCAACAAGTCAATTATGATTTGGAGTTTGAAACATTTTTCAAGGGTTGAGATAACTTTGGAAGACTTGCTTTTTCTTTGTTTGTTTCCATCTTCAGCCTCTTTACAGATGTCATTATAATACGGCTTCTTGAGGTCTCCTCTAACAACTCTCTGAAATTCCTTGCTATGTTCCTTCTGGAGAGTTTCATGTTTCTTGGCTTTGGCTTCTCTTCTAGGCAAATTCCCACCATTCGGTTTTACATTCAGTTTGCTTTCTTTTGTTTCTTGATCTTTGTCAGTCTCTTTTCATATTCAGCTTAACTTGACACCTACACCTGAGCTCCCTACGGAGATTCTCAGTCGTCCAGGTCATGGTTGTCCCAAAGATGCTTTTTCCAAAAGGCAACTGGACTTTCTTGGTGTTTTCTTTGAAGACGTTCCTCTGCTCCTCCTCTTCTCGTTCTCTTCTTCAGAACTGAAGAAGTTCCTTGCTCTTCTGGTGGCCTCAACCATCAGTTTTAATGCTGTTGTCTTGTGTCTTTAATGGTGTCTCTCCATCTTCTTCCAGGTCTGCCTCGTGTTCTTTGACCTGCTCCTCTTTTTCCATATGTCATGTACGGTATGGAATCCTACGACATCCTGTCCAAGTGAGAAGCCACTGTTTTTGCTGTGTTCTTTTTTTTAATGTATCTTAAGATTGGCTCTGTGCCAATTCTCTTCTGGTCTCATTTCTGTTTTTATCTCTTCTGGTCACTCCAGCAGATTTTCTCAAACATGACATTTCGGGTGGTGACTAACTTTCATTTATGTTTTATCGTAAGTGTCCATGTTTGGCATTGGTAACTTAGGGTGGGGATGAGTGTGCATTGTAGAGATGCTTCTTTGTGCTCATCACTACTGCCTTATGTTCTTACTGTACATTGTGATATTATTAGTCACCTCAGTTGGGATGCCTTTCAAAGGAGAAATTCTGTCATTCTAGTTGGTACAAGTATCAGAGGATTTGGGATGTTGATTTACAAAGAAGTTAAATTACTAAAATATCACCAAAACTAATTTTTCCCTAAGCAGGCAAAGCAGAGCCAATAAAGTTTTCCTGAGTGTGAATGAGAGAAACTGAATGGTTCCCTGGCCTAATTTGTTGAAATCCGTGGGTGGTAGCCATAAAGGAGAACATTTGCAGCGCAGGGTTGACATGAGAGGTCCTTAGTGCTCTCTGAGCTTGGTTGTTTCCTTGAAGACATTCCATGACCTAAGTAGATAACATCATCAGTGCTAGTAAGAAGTGGGGTTTGCTCTCAGTTTATACTCAAACCACTAGAATACAGAGTCTTTTGGGAATGGGGAGAAAAATCAGTGAAGCAAATTCAACATGACCTTCAAACAAAACCTTTCTCAATCTCTTGTAAGAAGACAACTTACACAGAATGGTCATCACCACAGCAAGAATGAAGAAGAGTAAAACCAGCATTGTAGTTCTTTTTTTGCCTTGATCTGAATCCAGGAAGTTACCGAATCGCTCGAAAACATTCTTTGGTGCTGAAAGAAGACAAATGGGTCGTTTAATCAATTGTGAAGCTGACCTTTCCTTTTCCCCTGACCGCTGCCCTTTCCTGGAAGGTGGTCTCATGCATTCCAGGCAAAGGACCCCTCCCTTTGCCAAATGGCCCAAGTGTTGCAACCTTCAACAGAGACAGAAATGCTGAGCAACTTTCTAAGCCCATGCAGTGAGATGCCGGGAGGTGAGAACTCTACTTTTGCCACCGATGGGAAGACTTCACATCTGGAATTCTTTTTTTAACATAAGTCAGGTTAGAGGGAGGGAGGGAGGAGTTGCTCTAGATGGTTTCGGGAGGTCAAAAGAAGGTGTTCCTTAAAAGAGGTCTCCTTTTGACTGGACTCCCCTATGTTTACTTGTGGCCCGTCTCTAACAGCTCTCATTGCAGCTCCTCCGTCTCTATCTGTAAATGCCCTCTCCCCCTTCCTAAGCCTTTCCTTTTCTCTTTTTGTCTCACTTCTTTGAATGGGAGGAAGAGGAGAAAGAAGAAAGAAGTTTAATGTGCAATGCAAGTAAAGTTGCTTTTCAGAAATAAGCATCCAGGAATATCCAGTAGTATGTATGACTCAGAAGCTCTGGATGGCGCACAAGGCAGCAGATGGAATATCAACATTAATCAACGCCAGGCAAAGCTGCCCATCCTCATCCTCAGCATCCAGAAGATACTATCCAAAGCACCGCCACGTCTTGCACTTAGACCCCTAAAATAATCTTTTTATGGAATTGAGTATTTTGGGAGAACACATTCTCTGGACTTAACCTCGTTGGAGGCATTAAGGAAAAGGAGGCAGCATCTGCAGAAAGTGGTAGGAAATAAGAAGAGCATAAACAACCTACGTGGAGGAGGTGGAGGCTTGGGAGGTGGTTTGGGTGCCATTTTATCTTCTTAGTCCAAATGATCATTCATCCTGTATTGGAGTTTTTAGAACATGACACAGGTTAATTAAAAAAAAACAAGTATATTCAAAAATACAATGTACTTCTTCCCCTGGAATTTTATCTTTTATGTCATTAAAAACCCAGAACTGAAGAATTTAGAGCTCTGCATGGACCACCCAACCCATATGCAGCTTGGGCCTCAAACGATCTTAACTGGCCTTGTAGTGATCCTTGGACTAGTTTACTCTGGCTGATTACTGACCGTAGAGCAGGGGTGAAATGTAATTTTTTTGCTGTGGGCGTGGCTTAATGGGCATGGCTTGGTAGTCATGTGACTGGGTGGGCGTGGCCAACTTGACATCACTCACTGTTAGAGTCAGGAGCACATTCCCTCCCCCCACTCCTTCTGCCAACCCTCCATACAAACCGCCCATTTCTGCAAAGGTAGAGCCCCCTCTCCTGCAGGGCAATCCAAAGAGGGGAGGGGGATGCTGCAGAAAAGGCCGCCTTCCACCCGTGCCGGCTCTGCGGTGTTTGGGGCTCCAAAGCAGCCCACTGGATTCCCACCCAGCCACCTGCCTCCAGCACCAGTCTGGGAACTCGGCCTGCAGAGTCCAGCACTCCAGGGGAAGGAGGCACAGCCACGGTGGCACTTCCCGGCAGCGAAGAAGCGGAGTGAGAGGGGCGGAGGCCGCCGGCGGGGCACAACCCCCCCTCCCCTGCGGGGAGAGGGCCAGGGCCAGCCACGCCACCACAGAGCCCGCGGCGGTTTCCCTTCGGCCTGGGTGCACTTGTAGTCATGCGGCCGGCTGGAGCGGAGCATGGTGCGGGGGACAGGCATATGCAGCAAGAGGCACGCCAGTGCCGCCTTGCCCACCTTCCCCACATCCATGTGCTGAGCATGGAAGGGGCAGCTGCCGCTGCTGCTCTCACCACCCTCCCTGCCACCTGACTGCAGATGTCTGCCTGCCAGAAGCAACCTCTCAAAGTAACCCTCCGCCATTTGCTTTCATTTTGTGGTGGGAGAAACACACAGAGGCTTGGAATGGCAGCACCCAGATACCTTCTGGGGCCTTTAAGAGCTCCTGAGCGGACCCACTGCCCCAGAGTGGATCCGGGCACTGCCATTCCAAGCCTGTCTGTGTGTCTTTGTTCCTGGTCTTTCGCAGCAGCCCATGCATGATGTCCCGTTCCCGACTGCCCATCTTAAAGGCACTTCGCCCCACCCCCGCTGCCCCGGGAAGGGGAGTGGGCATCTTGGAGGTTCTAGCTGCCCCAGATACCCCCGACTGGCCTGCCCAGGAGGCGCAACAGTGAGGTGGTCGTTGCCCCCGGCAGGCTTGGAATGGCAATGCCCAGATCTGCTCTGGGGCCTTTAAAAGCAGCGGAAATCTGCTGTCACGCCACACAACCCCCAAGGCAGCTCCCCCAAGCAGACCCACCGCCCAAGGAGCGCATCTGGGGGCAGCTTGAGCCAGCCCGGCCTGGGAAAGCCCAGAAGGGTTGAATTCCCGAGCTCTGGTTCAGCTGGCCGGGGATGAGACATCAGACATGGGCTGCTACGAAAGACCAGAAGCAAACACACACATATACACAATCCACGCACACATCGGTACTGGTGAAGTTTTTAGCGAGCAGCGCAGGAAGCCAGATTTGCCTTCATAGGTACGAAAGCTTCCTACAAATGGAGAAACGGCAGGAGCAAGGAAGCGCTTCTTTTTGTGCTTGCTCCTGGCATTTTTCCACTTGGAGAGGAGGAGGAGGAAGAAGAAGACTGTCACTGCGTTATTTTATTTACCAGCTCAGCTAATTATTTCTGGACTATCAGACTTTCCGTACCTTGCCAAGAATTGTTATCAAAAGCTACTACGCATGTCCATCCACCCACATTCCTTCACACTCCTTCCTTTGTTCTCTTGCCACGGATGCCGGTTGCTGGAAAGCAGCTGGCCCGAATTATTTTCAAAATGTAGCAATTATCTTTCTTAGTTAGTGAGGTGTTTTATTTTCTTTATAACAAATAAATGAGTTTTATTAGAGAACTTTTCTTCAGGTTTTCTTTTCAGAATATTGCAACTTGGAGGAAGCCTCGATCCATCCTCTAATTAAATCAGGGTGATTGTCCCAGAGCCAAACATGGGATTAATCAATGCCCTGACAAAGACAAGGGCGACAATTCCGGGTATGTGAAGCAAGGCATGAAAATCCACAACAGGAAGCTCGGGGTGAGTGAAAAGCAGCCCAGCGCTTTGTTTCTCCAGAACCGGTAGGAAAAAATGCTTAAAAAGTAAAAAAAAAAAAAAAAAAAGTTCCCACGATCGCGCATCGCTCAGCTGATCGTCGGAACTTTTAAAAAACTTTTTAAGCATTTTTTTACTATCGGTTCTTTGGAAGTAAAAGCAGGAAGTAACGACGACTGGGCGGGTGGGCAGAGCCTCGAGTTGCCATTGCTACCGGTTCTCCGGTAGCCATCATCGCTACCTACTCGCCCGAGCCAGTCCGAACTGGGAGCATTTCACCCCTGCCATAGAGCCTTTCCTGCAAAGCCATAACTTTCCCTCCCGTTATCTAGCATGTGAAAAAGAAAATGACTGCTGGGACCTCTGTCTTCCTTCTCCTTCATCCACATGGGAGAAAATGTTTAGGATCCTTAGATCACTACAAGGAAATTGAGCCCTGAAACCTTCGTAGAAATCAGCGGAAGGGTTTTCAAATGGTGTGAGAATTAGTAAGCCACATCTGAATCGTTTCCACAATTGGTCTGCAATCTCCCCCCCCCCCATTTTGCAAGTTCTCCCTTGAGTCTACATGACATCTGCATGCACCCAGATGCCCAGTCAATACGGTAATTTTTAGATGTGCTTACGGTTTCAAGAATAAAGGAAGGAGATGACACAGAGGACATCCTTGTTGCTACGTGAAGATTGAAATCAGACTACCACTTGTCCAGTGCAATGGCCAAGTGGAGCTCACTTATTGTACCATATTACATCACAATGGCTTAGGCAACCAATAATCAGCAGCCACATGTGAAGGAGAGTGCCCCAAGGATGCTGGTAGCTCAACCAGTCTCACTTCACCCCACCTCATTACGCATCTTCCCGACTCAGCTCAGAACTTCTCTCAGCCTTCCATTGAGTTGATGATCTTCCTGTCTAGCTGCTATGATGGCAATCGCTCTTGGAACCTTTGTGATGTGGGGAATCCAGCAGCAGGTAGACACGCCGCTATGAATTTCCCTAGAGGTGGAAATTCAGAAAAGACAGAGGTGGGGGATGGCTGTAATGTAAGAACCAGCCCTATGGAACATGAATGAATGAGGTTTGAATGATGAGCTTCTGAGAATTGTCCACATGTTGACTTTGACCATACCAGTCTATTGTTGCTTGGATGCACCTGCAGAAGTATCATCCACTTCAACTTCTTCTTTTCTTCTTGATAGGTTCCCGGACTCTGATTTGACCTCTAACAAAAGCAAATTCTGCTGTTTGAATTGGCTAATGGTTTTGATCATCATTAGATTCTTCATCAAAATCTGGATTATTATTTTTTTAAAAAAAGATATACACTATATCAGGAAGAGAACAGAATCCTGCATGTGCTAAGATAAGATGTCCATAGCATTGCTTAATTTGCCAGGGGTGGAGATGTATAATTAGCACTAGCAAAAGCACTTAGACTTATATACCGCTTCACAGTGCTTTACAGCCCTCTCTAAGCATCAGCCTCTTTCCCCCAACAATCTGGGTCCTCATTTTACCGACCTTGGAAGGATGGAAGGCTGAGTCAACCTTGAGCCTGGTGAGATATGAACTGCCAAATTGCAGGCAGCTGGCAGTCAGCAAAAGTAGCCTGCAGTACTGCATTCTAATCACGCTGCCACCATGGCTCATAATTGATTTAATGCTTCAGGAGACTTCCAGCGGTGATGTCACGCTGTAGCGGGGCACATGAGTGGGGCTCTGCTTGTTTGTACCCGATTTTCCATGTTTTTGAAGCTTTTTTGGCAGGCCGGATCTTGGAGGGATCGGTGAGGTTGAGGGGTTTCTTCGGAGTTTGAACATGGAGCAGTGTGAGCACCTGTTTGGCGAGAAGAGCCCTCCGGATACACACGTAAGAAATCTGCTTGAGAATGGCAGATCCAGAGGCATGATGCCCCGATGATTTGTACAGGGAGCGAATAGTGGAAAGCAGCTTGAAGAACTGGAGAGAGGAGAATAAAAGTGACAGAAAAGGAAAACTCTCAGAGATTGTTAAAAGATTCGAAAGAGAAGCAGTAAAGTGAGACGCCAAGAGGGAGCTTGAGCAGCAAGGCAGCGGTGGGAGCGGAGATCGAGAGCTGTCAAACAGGAAAAGAACTTATCATGGTGAGTGGAGCAAACGAATGGATTGGGACTTGTTTGCTACATTTTTGGTACTAGAAGAAACTTTATACTCTTGGATGCTATTGTTGGGGGGTAAGAAGAGAAAGTTGGCTTTGAAGGATATGTTGGAGGTGATAGATTAAAATCTGAGCTACAGACAACAAAGGTGACTCTGCAGTTTTAAATAAAGAAGACATTTTGAAGGAAGGGGTGAAAAACTCTTTTAAAAAAAATCTTGTGTCTGTTAACTACTTGAAGAAGTCAAAGAAAAAACTAAAAAGAAACATTCAGAACTCTTTATATATATCTATAAATCAACTGAAGTACTTATAATTAAATATCTATATTCGTACTCATCATTATCTATTTAGATAATACTTATTTTTATTTACATATACTGAAATGCTTATAACTTGTATTAACTCATATTAATCTCTGTTTATCTACATACTCATATATTAATAGACCTCCACTTAATTGTAAGTGAATAAAGTAGTATATATAGAAATATATTTAAGGTTGCTAATTGTAATGGTAATAGAAGTCTAGGAAGGAAGGAACATATTGATGAATTATTGATTACTATTGATTTATATATTTATATATTAATCACTAATCAAATATTAATTGTTTATTAATCAATTGATTGTTAGAAATTGGAATTGACTTAATTAAGGATTATATCATATTATACTAAGAGATTACTGGGGAACATTATAACAGCTAAAAGGAAAGAATATAAGGAAAATACAGAAGAATAGAGATTGGAAGAGAGGAATAAAGACATGCGGTTGATTATATGGTACTGTGGAAAAACCTCTTTAGGAATATCAAAATGACAAGTACAACTTGTCACCAAATGTCAAGTACACAGTCACCAAAATGGGGGGGGTAACTTCAATGACAGCTTCCCCTTCAGAATTAAAATCAACGGAAGCCATGTTGGGAGGTGAAAAATCTAGCTTTACGGTTAATTTACAACATATGTAATCAACCTTATTAGCAATACAGGAAACAATGTTAAAAATGCAGGAGGTCATGACAACCAATCACAAATTTATTAAGAATGATATGGGAGAAGTAAAGGGGGAGATACAAAAGCTATAATATAAAATCGGTACAATGAAGGAGATGTTAACTAAAAACAAACAAAAGATAAAGTCGGTAGAGGTTAAAACGGAACATATGGGGAAAAAATGGATATAGTAACAAATAAAATGGTGGCAGAATATAGGGAACTGGAAGAAGCTATAATAAACTTGGAGATGGAGAAATCGATGTTTTATCTCCGTTTCCAAAATATCCCGGAAAACAAAGAAGAAAATCTCCCTGCACTGATGGCTGAGCTACTAGCGGAACCATTGCAAAAAGGTAAACAAGAACTGGAAAATGAAATTGACGAAGCATACAGGATCCATACAAACTATGTACGGAGGAACAGACTTCTGAGAGAGTTCATGTTAAATTTGTTAAGAAAAAAATAAGAGATGAAGTATATAGCAAAACACGAGAAGATCCACTGATATACAATGGAAAGGAGATCACAGTACTGAAACAGATTCTGAAAAGAATAAGAGAGCAAAGACAGAGTTGTCATTTTCTCTCTAAACAGTTATTAAAATACAGAGTGATGTTCCGATGGCTCATCCCGAAAGGAATGTTGATAACATGGCAACAGAAGAAATTCCGGATTGAAACATTAGAAAAGGCTCAGGAATTCTATGACCACTACATAAGCGGGGAGGACGAACAAGACAGCAGGGAGGAAGGAGAAAGTAAAAGTCAAGAAGATCAGATTTCGGAGGAAAAAATTGTAGAACAAGACACAAGAGATCATAAGGAAGTAGAATGTCACGTGAGGGAAGGAGCCAGAACCAGAGAACAGACCGAGAACAGACCAAGGAGAGGACCAAGACCAACAGATAATTAATAAGATGGAAAATGAAATAAAGATGCTGTCATTAAATATAAACGGCATCAACTCAGCTACTAAACATAAATAAATACTATCAAGATTACAAAAAGAAAAAATGGATATCATCTGCCTCCAGGAGGTACGTATTAAAGAAAAGCATAGCAATCTCATAAAATGTCCTAAATTAGGGGAATTATTCTCAGTGTTGGCACAAAATAAAAAAAGAGGGATTGCTGTATATATAAAAGATTGGTTAAAGCCTAGGAAAATATTTAGTGATAAAGACAGAAGAATCTTAATAATAAGTACAAATTATAGGAAAATTCTGTTAGTAACAATTTATGCACCAAGCATAAAACAAGAAAAATTCTATAATAAATTACACAGGAAAATAATGGAATTAGATGGTGAAAATATTTGTATAATAGGGGACTTCAAGTGGTAAACAATAAATTGGATAACTATTGCGTACATGGTGAGGAGAAACAAAGAGATGAAGGAACAACAAACGTCAACATTGGAGAAGCTTAAAAAATTAGAACTATCTCTTCAGAACGATCCCCAAAACACGGAAATTATAAAGGAAATAGAGCTAATGAAACATAAAATCAATATATTACAACAGGAAGCAATGATAAGGAATATAAAATTGGCAAAACAAAATTACTTTGAGTTGGTAAATAAACCAGGAAGATGGCTTGCCCACAAATTGAAAAAAGAAAAAGCTAAAAAATTGATACATTTACTATTGAGTAAAATGTGGTCTAGTGCCAGGCTTTGTGGTCTGTCCTTCCTTTCTTTCCTTTCTTTCTTTCTTTCTTTCTTTCTTTCTTTCTTTCTTTCTTTCTTTCTTTCTTTCTTTCTTTCTTTCTTTCTTTCTTCCTTCCTTCCTTCCTTCCTTCCTTCCTTCCTTCCTTCCTTCCTTCCTTTCTTCTTCTTTCTCTATTTCTCTATTTCTTTGTCTCTTTCTTTTTCTTTCTTGTCTCTCCCTTCCTCTTTCCTTCTTTCTTTTTCTTTCTTTCTTTGTCTCTTCCTTCCTTCCTTCCTTTCTCTTCCTTTCTCTTCCTTCCTTTTTTCTTTGTCTTTTCCTTCATTCTTTCTTTTCTCTCCCTTTCCCTTTCTTTCTTTCTTTCTTTCTTTCTTTCTTTCTTTCTTTCTTTCTTTCTTTCTTTCTTTCTTTCTTTCTTTCTTTGTCTCTTTCTTTTTCTTTCTTGTCTCTCCCTTCCTCTTTCCTTCTTTCTTTCTCTTTCTTTCTTTGTGTCTTTTTCTCTTTCTTTCTTTCTCTCCCTCCCTCCTTCAAAGTCTAATAGAGTGAGACTGGGAGGCCTGAGAGAAAGCGCCTGGCAGCGGCGACGGCAGCAACAGCAGCAGCAGCAGCAGCACCCAAAACAGGAGCTTCAGGCTGTGGCAGGTGGTGGTGGGGGCAGGTTGGGGGGCTGAAACAGGAGCTTCAGGTGGCAGAAGTGGGGCATCCTGGATCACCCAGGAAGTTTTCCTGCGTTGCTTTTGCCGCGGCAGGCAGCAGCTGTGGTGACGGCAGCTGTAGGATGTCCCAGAATGCCCGGGAAGTTTTCCTGGGCTGCTTTTGCTTGGTCTGGACGGACCACAAGAACTTAGAAGCTCTCCAGTCCCCATGTAGACTATCCCCAAAACAGGTATGATGGGTGCTGTATTTCCAGATTTTCAACTTCCGTCTGAAATACATCCTAGGGAGGGAGAAACTTCCTAGCGGACGCATTGTCCAGAAAACCACAATATGGCAGTGGGCGAGAGGAGATAGTCCAGGCAATAATTCTTGCCAGGTCAGCCCAACCAACCCCAGACACGCCCACCATAGCTATTCCACCGACCGGCCTTGACGAGGACATACCCCGGGCTATCCGGGGAGCCCTCACCACCAATCCGTGGTTCCAAGGGAACCAGGCTTGGCAAACCCAGAAAGAGGCCTTCGCCTGGAAGGGCTCCAAGATGTATGTGCCCAGAACTGTGTGGTTGACTGTGCTACAATGTTGCCATGATGTCTGTCCAGCTGGTCATTTCAGGTTTTCTGAAGGCTTTGTATTTAACAAACTGGCAGTTCTGGTGGCCACACATGTGGAAGGACATTGAGGAGTATGTGCAAAGCTGTGCTGTGTGCAGAACCATGAAGGCCCTGCCTGGGAAACCCTAGGCCTCTTACAGCCAGTGGCTGATCCGACCCAACCATGGCAACAGATAGCCATGGACTTCATAGTCGAATTGTCGGAGAGTCAGGTAAATACCATCATATGGATGGTTATTGATCTGCTCTCGAAGCAGGTACACCTTATTGCCTGCTCCGGCCTACCTTCTGCTAGGAAATTGGCAAAACTGTTCATTGTACATGTCTATCGGCTCCATGGTATTCCCCAAGAATAATCTCGGACAGAGGGGTACAGTTCACTGCCAAATTCTGGCGGAAATTCTTATAGAGGGTGGGGACCAAACAGAGCCTAAGCTTCACCTTCCATCCAGCCACCAATAGGGCAGCTGAGAGGGCCAGCTCAATGTTGGAGAGGTACCTGCATTGTTACTTGAATCATCAGCAAACAGATTGGGCTGACCTACTCCCTTTTGCAGAAGTGGTACACAACAACGCAGTATACAGCAGTACCGGTTTCACCCCGTTCACAGTGGCTACTGGAAGGGAGTTTGTGCCAATACCCAAATGCCCCCAAAATACCACGGAGGACCCAGATGTACGGGAATGGATGTCCCGAGCACAGCAGGTATGGAAGACTGTCACGGAGGCTTTGCAGCACGCAGCCGAAAGGTATAAGGAGCAGGATGATAAAACCTGGAGGCCCCAGACCCCTTTCTACGTGGGTCAATGGGTCTTCTTGTCCACCAAATACCTGAACATGCACCTCCCATGTAGGAAGCTAGGTCCTAAGAACATTGGGCCTTTCCCAGTGGTAAGGGTGATTAACCCTTACCACTAGGAAAGTGGATTTTGGTGCAGCTCCAGCCACCCCGTCTGCTGGGGAAAACACACCCTGTCTTTCACTGCAGTCTACTTTGCCCAGCCCACTTGTCTCCCCTCAGGGAGCCAATTCCCCTTCCACCCTCTCCGCTCATGGTGGATGGTGAACAGCACTATGAAGTGGAAAAGGTACTGGACACCCAGTGGCACAGGGGGAAGCTGCAGTACCTTCTTCTGTGGAAGGGATATTCCCTCTCTGAAGCCTCGTGGGTAACTGAAAGAAACGTACAAGCTGCCCAGCTGGTTGTTAGGTTTCACTAGAAAAATCCAGGGAAGCCAGGGCGAGGGGGATGTGTCCCCATTACCCTCTACTTACCATGTTCTTTCCATTGCAGATGCCGCA